CTAGTTCCATCCATTTACCTGCAAATTTCATGATTTCATCTTTCTTTACTGCTGAGTAAAACTCCATCATATAAAATGTGAAACCACATTTTCATTATCCACTCATCAGTTGAGGGACATTTAGGTTGCTTCCATTTCTTAACTATTGGGAAAATAGCAGAAACAAACATGGATGTACAAGTATCTCTGTAGTAGGATGAGTCTTTTGGGTATATGCCAAGGAGTAGTATAACTGGATCATATGGCAGGCTCATTTTTAGTTTTTAAGAGTTCTCCACACTGCTTTCCATAGTGGCTGCACAAGTTTGCAATTCCACTAGCAGTGAATGAGCGTTCCCCTTTCTTTAACTTGCATTTCACTAATTACTAATGATGTTGAACCTTCTAAGATGCTTTTTGGCCATCTTTATTTCTTCTTTTGAGAACTCTCTGTTCAGCTCCTTGGCCCATCTTTTAATAGGGTTACTTCCTTTCTTGATTTTTTTTTTTTTTTTTTGAGTTCTTTATATATTCTGGATGTTAAACCTGTTAGATGAGTCACAGTGAAGATTTTCTTCCATTCTATGGGTTTTTCTCTTCACCTCCTTGGTTGTTTCTTTTGCTGTACAGAAGCTTTTTAGTTTAATGAGATCCCATTCATTGATTGTTAACCTTAATTTCTGAGTAACTGATGTCTGATTTAGAAAGTCCTTTCCTACACCTATATCTCATAGGGTACTGCCTATGTTTTCTTCTAACAGGTTCAGAGTTTCAGATTTTACATTGAGTTCTTGATCCATTTGGAGTTGACTTTTGTGCAAGGTGAAAGATAAGGGTCAAGCTTCATGCTTTTACAGGTGGAGATCCAGTTTTACCAGCACATTTGTTGAAGATGCTGACTTTCCTCCATTGTGTGTTCCTGCACCTTTGTTAAATATCAGGTGGCTGATATTGCATGCCCTGATGTTTGGGTCTTCAAATATGTTCCTTTGATCTATGTGTCTGTTTTTGTGCCAGTACCATGCTATTTTTATGACTATAGCCTTGTAATATAATTTGAGATCTGGTATGGTAATCCCCCTAATTTGTTCTTTATGCTTAGGATTGCTTTGGCTATCTAGGGTCTCTTGTGATTTTGTATGAATTTTAGGATTTTTTTGTAATTTTGTGACGAATATATGGGGATTTTGATGGGGATTTCATTAAACCTATAGATTGCTTTTGTTAGGATGGTCATTTTCACAATATTAATTCTTCCAATCCACGACTTTGGAAGGTCCTTCTAAATCTCCTGGTGTCTTCCTCAATCTCTTTCTTCAAAGATTTAAAATTTTCACTGTAGCAATCTTTAATGTCTTTGGTCAGTTTTATTCCTAGATACTTTATTTATTTTTCTGAAGCTATTGTGAATGGGAGGGTTTCCATGAGTGCTCTTTCTGGTTACTTATTGTTGGTATATAGAAAGGCTATTATTTTTGTAGATTGATTTTTTTTTTTTGTAACCTGCCACTTTGCTGATAGTGTTAATCATTTCTAGGAGTTCTCTGTTGGATTTTTGGGGATCTCTTATGTATAATATAATCATCTGCAAATAGGGATAATTTGACCTCTTCTTTTCCAGTTAGTACTCTTTTAATTTCCTTCTCCTTAAAAAGGGGTGGAGATAGTGGACAGCCTTACTGGTTCCTGATTTTAATGGGAATGCTTCCAATTTTAATCCATTTAGGATGATGTTTGCTGTGGATCTGTTATATACAGCTCTAATTATGTTGAGGTATGTTCTTCCAGTTCAGTTACCTCTTTGACTTTTAACATAATACAAGTTGACTTCTGTCAAAGACCATTTCTGCATCTATTTAAATGATCGTGTGGTTTTTGTCTTTGAGTACATTTATATTATTTACAATTTATTGATTTTCGAATATTGAACCATCCCTGCATCTCTCGAATAAAGCCGACTTGATCGCGTCAGATGATCTTTTGTATGTGTGTCTGCATGCAGTTTGCAAGTATTTTGATGAGAATTTTTGCATCTCTGTTCATAAGGATATGGGTATGTAGTTTTCTGTTTTGGTTGTGTCTTTGCCTGGTTTTGGTATTAGAGTAACGCTGGCTTCATAGAATGAGTTTGGGTATTCTCCCTCTGTTTCTATTGTTTTGAATAACTTAAGGAGTATTGGTTGTAGATTTTCTTTAAATGTCTGGTAGAATTTTGCTGTGAATCTACCTGGGCCTGGGTTTTTTTCAGTTGGGATGCTTTATTCACTGCTTTAATTTCCTTATGTGTTATGGGTCTGTTTAAGCTGTTGATCTCTTCTTGGTTTAGCTTTGGTGGTTCCCATGATTTTAGGTATTCATACATTTCTTTTAGGTTTTCAAATTTAATAGAGTATTGGTTTTTTAAAAAAAATTCCTTTATAGTGTTTTGGATCTTTTGGATATCTGTTGTGATGTTTCTCCTTTCATCTCTGATTTTTAAATTTGGATTTATTCTTTCTTTCTTTCTTTTGGCTAACTGGGCTAAGGGCCTGTCTATGTTGTTTATCTTTTCAAAGAACTATCTCCTAGATTCATTGATTCTTTGTATTGTTTTCTTTGCTTCTAGTCCATTAATTTCTGCTCTGATTTTTGTTATTTCTTCTCATCTGCTGGTTTTGGGTTTCATTTGGTCTTGCCTTTCCAGAGTTTTTAGTTGCACTGTTAAGTCATTTATTTGTGCGTTTACATTACTGAATAAAGGTCATGTGGTCTGCAGGAACTCTGTTCTGGATCTGAGTGATGGCTCCTGGGTGGTGTGATCCAGCATGCTTCATCTGGCCCCTTTATTTCTTAGGCAAGTTTGTAGTTGATTTGTAGGGGAGACTGTCTCTCTCTCTCTCTCTCTCTCTCTCTCTCTCTCTCTCTCTCTCTCTCTCTCTCTCTCTCCTTAGTGCTTCAGGATCTCTGCGGCATCCCATCACGAAGGATATGCCCTATTTTCTGTGATGCTGAAGCTGCTCTCCTGGACAGAGTTTAAAAGACTACAATCTTCGGAATAGACAACCATTTTCTGCACACCTAAGGTATGCCAGCCATTTTTCTGATTTATCGTGCTGTGTCTGACTCTATAAACTATACTCAGACTTGCAGAAATGGACCAGAATTGGTTGGTTGGAAGCTAGGGTATAATCATCACTCTGCACTTATGTACTTCTTGCAACGCGGGTTAATGACTCTGGTGCAGTTTTATAGGCAGATCTTCTAAGGATTATTTAAAAAATAAGAGATGTGAGAGTAAGGTTGATCATGCCACGTTAATCTGTCATAACACTACTAACCTCGACTGAGAAGAAATAGAACCCACCACCGTAGCCATTCTGGCCGGGGTTATTTACACATCACACCTTTCCAGTGCACTTTTTCCAAGGCACCTTTGCAAGTCTCTGGAGAAGACAAAACACCCAGTCGGAGCTGGAGGCTGGCCCCGCGCAGCAGGCAGGCCGGAAGGACTCTGCACTGGAGCGCAGGAAGCAGCCCCGGCTGGCGTTGCACTTTGGCTGTAGTACGTAGCTAGCGCCACAGCAGCCGCTCTGCAGAACTCGGCCTCGCGTTCCTGGGCGCGCGGTGTGGTCCTCAACCGGCCGGTCCTCGGTCCGCGCATCACCGGCCTCGCTCGCCGCCCCTCTCCGCTTTCCCGCTCTCTGCAGCGACATCCCGGAGGCGCCGCGGCTTGGGCAGGTGGGAGGCGCAGGCGGCGCTCGGGGGACCACTGCCTCGAGTAGGTTTCCATCTCCATCTGTCCTTCCCAGGCGCCCGCCGAAGGGACCCGGCCGCGCAGCCTCAGCAGCCTGAGTTTCAGAACGCAGGCGCCGGGCCTGGGGGCCGATCGGGAGGACTTGGGGTTCAGGAGGCTACGGCGGGGTTCCGGAGCTGACCTTGGCGCCCGGCCCGGCAGATGGCCCTGGACGGGTGGCAGGACGGGGTGGGGCTTCTGGGCTTTGCTTTTATCTGTCCTGTGTGCAGCAGAGCGCCGGGGAAAGCACCGCGTATGCGCAGGTTTCTACGGCTCGGTCTCAACAGTTCAAGGGCAATTGTTGCTTATCGCAAGGAGGATTTCCTGGTCCTTTTACCAGAGCAAGTTAACCCTTAGAAAAAACAGCTTTCCGGAAATGAGGTGTTTGATGAAAGTTGTGTGGTGGTAGGGACCTCGGTAGCTGACGCATATTGAAAGAAAAACTTACGCTTTTAAAAAAGTCCACTTAAGATACAAATTTTCACATGCAAATAGTGATTGATGAGACTGGCAATAACAAGTAGGAGAGTGCATTTAAGTATTAGTTTTCATGCTGTTTTGGAGGCTGATTTAAATATTTAGTGATACCTTTGAAGTTAAAATTCGGCCAGTGAATAAAATATTTTACTTTCAGTTACAGATTGTGGAAGTTCTTTTGTAAATTTTTTATTTTTTTTGTTTTAAATGTATACTGTTTTGCTTGCATGTGTTTGCCTGCATGGTTCCCCTGGGAACTGGTGTCAGCCATCATGTGCATGCTGGAACTGAACCCAGGTGCTCTGCAAGAGCATCCAGTGCTCTTAACTCCTGAGCCATTTCTACAGTCCTGTGTGGTAATTTTTTAAAAATTTATTTTTATTTTATGTGTATGAGTTTTATGCCCGCATGTATGTAAGTGCACCTGTGTCGTGCAGTGCTTGTGGAGGACAGAAGAAGGTATGGATCCCTTAGAACTGGAGTTGGGAATGGTTGCTAGCCACCATGAGGGTGCTGGGATTCAAACCTGGGTCTTCTGCAAGAACAGCCAGTGCTCTTAACTGCTGAGCTATCTCTTCAGCCCCGGTGTGGTAATTCTTATGTGTTGGGTAGTATACCACAATGCTGTATAACTGTTTTACACAGACATATTTCATACTATAGTTTAAAAGATTTGTTTATGATGTGGAGAATTAAAAGTGCTCTCCACTGAGCTCCATTCTCAACCATAGAAAGAATGGTTCTTGGAAAACATTGGTCAGTCATTTCCCCATCTTTCTGGCTCTCTTAATTTTCATAGTCAGGTTATATGTGCATTGTTCAATAAATAAAAGCTAACTTGGCAACAAAGTACGTTTTCTGTTTTATTTCAGATGGCTGTGCTCCAACCTTGGAGAGCAGATGCCGGCTTGGAGCCTTGGTACCCAACTCCATCTACAAGTAGCACGCCTTAAAAGGTGAGGTGGTTCATTTGGCTCTCTGGGAACCAAGGGCTTCTGAGGCTGTGTGTATATATGTGTATGTGTGTGTTACTTTCTTTGTTTTAAATATAAAAGTAGTGGGTTTAAGAGTTGTGGCTTATAGATCAGTGCTTATTTAGTATGCTTGAGGTCAGGAGTTTGATTTCCAGCAACGCGCGCGCGCGCACACACACACACACACACACACACACGCACACACCCCAAGTAGTGAATTTTGATTTATATCTAAAACCAAATCCATTCCAGGCATGGTAACTTGAGCCTTTAATCTCAGCACTGCGGAGGGAGAGGCAGGCAAATCTCTGTGAGATTGAGGCCAGCCTGGTCCACATAGTGACCTCCAGACAGGCTGGGACTAGGGAGACCCTGGCAAAACAAAACAAAACACAAAGAAAAACAAAACAAAACCCCAAATCCTCAGACCTTGTTAGCTCTTCAGGTGAGTGAGTATATGCTTTCATTTTTGAGTGACTTGCCTGGAATCCCGAAGCTCGGAAGGGACACAGCTAGGATGATTTCCCAACTGGGAGACCCAGTTACTTAAATTTCTGTGTATTTCTCTTTGAAAAGAAAACTCTTTCCAAAGAGGCTCAGGGGAGGGTTGCCATTGCTTCCCCCTAGCAGCAAGTGAATCTAGCTTTTCCTTGGTAGAGCCATGTTTGGAGATGGGTGAAAAATCATGTTCTATGCACCTACTTAATACTCTTTGAACCCTTTTGTCAAAGGCAAACAGGAATAACTTTATATCTTTCTATCAGTTGCTATGATGGTAGATTTTTTAAGTCTTCAGAGACAGAACAAAACAAAAGAGTAACAGAACAAAAGAGTGATAGTCTATATACTTGTAATTCTAAAGTGTTTGAGCAAATGAGACTAAATAGAAGCCATTGTCAACATTTATTGTGTACTTATTGTGTGTATACCACATGCTGGGCATAGAGGGTGAGGTAAACAAGGTAAGGTGCTTGTCTTAAGGGGTTGACACCCTCACAGAGAGAACAGACATTTCATATCATGACCAGCACACAAGGATAACTATGTAATTAAGATGGAAACAAAACTTTCATGCCATTAACTTTACCACACCTTACCTTTACTATGAGGAGTACAGCTAACATTTCCTATTTTATCATATTTCATTTTTTAAAACTTCTGGACAGAAACCACCAAACTGATCTCATAGAAACAATAATGAGTCCATTCTGGCATGGTGAAAAGTTCTGCCACAGTGGATATTAATGAGCTTTCTCTTGATTTTCCAAGACAGGTCTCCTCATGTAGCTTAGGCTAGCCAGAACCCACTGTGTAGTCCAGACTGGCCTTGAACTCAGTATGATTCTGCTCAGATTCCTTTTCTCTCCCTCCACCCAAAGTGCTAGGATTGCAGGTTGTGCTATCTCAACTGATTGGGTTTGTTTGTTTTTACTGTAATGTGATGCACTAAGATGTATGTAGGTAGCAGGTAATATAAACCAAAACATCCCAAGGTCAGCATTCCCTAACCATGCCTTCAGTGCCTAATTTCACCCTCTTATTTTTTAAAAAATATTTAATTTGTTTTTTTTTTTTATTTTATGTGTATGAGTATATTGTTTGCATGTAGATAGGCACACCTGTGTTAGGCAACGGGTCAGAAGAGGTTGTTGGATCCCCTTGGAACTGGAGTTACAGACAGTTGTTAGCTGGCATGTGGGTGCTAGGAATTGAACTTGGATCCTCTATAAGGGTAGTCAGTGCTCATAACAGCTAAGCCATCTCTCCAAACCCCTCAGCTCCTTTATTTTACTGACCCATCAGAAAGGATCCAGAGAGATGCCTGCCTGACTTTCCATTCAAAGCCAGGCTAGGGTGTATTGTGATGTTGCACTAAGTTTTCCCCTCCCCACTGAGAGACTGGCTCTCACTCAGGGTCTTGAGGTCCTGTCGCAGACTGACAAAACCAACATAACACATTCTATTTGGGTTTTGCATAGTTTATAACATCCCGTACAGGGAGACTTACAAAGGCATGAAACACTGCCATCAGCGTGTCCCACCCCCATCTCTCCCAGTTTTTCATGTGTGGCCGATCATCCGCCATTTGCGGATATATGGTGAAGGCTCCACCCCTTTTCCCAGTGTGCTCAGCCTGGGTCTCTCCCGCCACCCCATCAATTCTAGCCTTTTGGAGGAACTTCTGGGTTACAGGAGACTATATAACATTCCTTTCGGTTTATCACTTGGTAATCTTAGTAAAACTAGCAAATTGAGCTTGGGGAGTGCAAACAATAACAGTCCAAACAATTTTGATTTTTAAGCCTAAACCTTCAAATGCAAAGGAATGCTGCTTGGTGTGGAGGGAGTTATTTCCCCTTCAGTCAGAGAATATGGTTATCCAAACCTCACATCCTCCCTAATTCATTTTGCTCTTGGAATCGGGCATCATTGTATTGAGCCTGTTGGGAGCCTTGGGATACTAAGATTTTCCTTCAAATCCAATCCTGAAACTCCCGTTTTACAGGAGGATTTATGGGCTGAGTGTAGTTCTGTAGTAGAACGAATGCTTAGCTTCAAGCCTGGGGTTCAGTCCTCAGCATCATACACGAGCAAAAAGGTAGATGAATAATTTTTTTGTCTTTTTTTTTTTTTTTTTTGGTCTTTTTGAGACAGGGTCTCTCTGTAGCCCCAACTGTCCTAGAACTCGCTATGTAGATCAGGCTGGCCTTGAACTCACAGAGATCCTCCTGCCTCTGCCTCGCGAATGCTGGGATTAAAGGCATGCGCCACCACACCCAACTTGATGAATAATTTTTAAACCACTTGCTTTGTAGATTATTTTTGTCATTCTTCACTAAATGAGATAGAAACCATGAGGCTCAGAAAGGAAAAGTGGCCTTCCCAAGGCCCCAGAGCAGAGCTCTGAATTATTTCCAGCCCATCATGGCTGCTTCAGAGGCAGCAGAGAGGAGGGGATATTTGAAGAGCAGTGGCTAGCTCTCCTGAGGGCTCTGGGATTTTTTTGTTTTTTCTTCCAAGAAGACAGGGAGCTGAAATACCCTAGGTAGGAGCCTCTCCTGCCTCTCGCTCCTGAGTCAGAAACTCTTGAGGCTCTCAAGTCTGTCCAGTTGGCCCAGGACGTGAGTGATAGAACAGCCACTTTGATCTTGATTTCCCTATGATGGAAGGAACTTCTCACTTGAAGGTACTTTTTTTTTTCTTTCCATACTCAGGATTGAGCCCAGGGCCTTGTGCATGCTAAGCAAGCACTCTACCATTGAACTATACCCCCAGCCCTTTTAGAATTTTGAGTCAGAGTTTCACTAAGTTGCTCATTCTGGCCTTGAATTTGTGGTCTTCCTGCCTCAGCCTCCTGAGTAGTGCTGGGATTACAGGCAATATCACATTCAGCTGTTGTACTGTTTTGAAAGGCGTAGTGGCCTGGATGGTGCTATTTCTAGGGCGACAGTATAATCCTTCCCCATTCCTGTTAGCTCTACACTGCTGTCTTCATTTCAGGAAGAAACAGGACATATTTTGATTTAATATTGCAGATAACATTGGGAATATTCATTCAATAAGTTTTGAATAGAGAAAGAAAAGGAATTTTGTTTAAGGATCTAGTATCAGAGGTTGTCGAAGTGGAAGGTCTTCACTCATGGTTTTTGTTTTAGTTTTGTTTTGCCTTTAAAAAATTTTTATTTATTTGTTTATTATTCATTTTTGGTCTTTTTGAGACCTTTGTCTCCCCGTAGCCACAGCTCACTTTGTAGACCAGGCTGGAACTTGCTTTGTAGACCAGGCTGGCCGTGAACTCACAGAGATCTGCCTGCCTCTGCCTCCCGAGTGCTGGGACTAAAGGTGTGCACCACCACTCCCAGCTATTATTTTTATTTTCTGTGTATGAGTGTATTGCCTGCATGTATGAAGTGTACCCATGTTGTGCAATGCCCATGGAGGTCACAGGAGGGCGTCAGATCTCCTGGAACTGGAGTTACAGACAATTGTTAGCTGTCATGTGGGTGCTAGGAACCAAACCCTGTTCTCTGCAAGAGCAGCCAGCCATTTCTCCAGCCCTTTGTTTTGCCTTTTTAGTTTAGTTTTTATTTTTAAGTTTATTTAAATTTATTTTTCTGTTTTTCTGAGACAGGGTCTCCCTTTAGCCCCAGCTAGCCTGGAATTTGCTATGTAGACCAGGCTGGCCATGAGCTCACAAAGATCTGCCTGCCTCTGCCTCCAAAGTACTGGGATTAAAGGCTACCACCATGCCCAATTTTGCCTTTTTAAAATACAGTGCCTTACTCTGTATCCCCAACTGACCTGCAACTTACCATGTGGTCCAAGCTGTCCTTTAACTTGCAGTGATCTTGCCCCAGCCTTTCAAGTGCTGGAATTACAGGAATGTACCACCAAGCCTGGTGCCTTTTCTTTTTTCCTTCACATGATCACATGACATTGGAGAGCTGATTCACATCATGAAGGTTTTCTCAAGAAAATATATGGCAGCACTAGTTAGCTAGCTTGCTCCCTGTGCCCTTTTCTGTTTTCTTTCTCTCTTCCCTCTTTTTTCCTTGCCTCCCAGCCTCCTCTGGTTGAATGGCTCTGAGTCAGGTGTTTCTGTTTCTCTGTGGAAAGAAGGTAGACATTTGAAGGCAGGGCCCAGAGTTTTCTTCTTCGCTCCGTTTGCTAGGTCCCCCCTTGTTCAGGCCTGACACCTCAGCTCCTGTGCTGTGTGGGTGGGACCTGCTGAGTGGCCTATGGGGAACCCTTGGGCTGTCTCTGGTTGTGGTGCAGGGAAGCCGGAGGCCTGAGCCTTTGTGTCCCCTCCCACCCTGACACCTGCCCTCCAACCCCAGCCTTCCTTCTCCTGGCTTACTCATCCAAAGCTCCTCTCTACTTAGTCATAACTGGTCAAACAAATGTCTGTGGTGAAAGGTGGTGGGTGTGGGAGAGCTAGGATCAAGTTGCCATTCTGCTCTTTCATTATCTTGGGAAATGTGAAGCTTGGAGTCTGGAGAGCAGCCAAGGAGGTGCCCTAAGAAGAACCTGGAAGGGCAGATTCCTCTGGATCGCCTACTGCTCCAGGTAACAAGATGTTGGGGTGTTTCAGCTGCTGTTTTGGGCCTAGCCTGTAGGAATTTAGGAGATCTTAGGCCTTTTGAAAGAAAATGAGGTGTTAAGGTCTAATAGCTGCTTTTGATGTTTGGATTGATCAGAACCAAAGACTCCAGGTGGTCCTGGGAGCAGCTTTGATATGCCTTTCTCTCTTTTTGATGAGTGCCAGCCAAGTGGGAATCCACAGTGAAGCCCCACAGCTGCTGTAACTGGCAACATCCACAGGTCTTTCTCAAGTGTGATACAGGCCAGGGGCTGTCCGGGGCTGCTGCTTTCTCTTTGGTAGGCTGACTCAAGAGGTGTAGTACAAGGAGGGCGGTCCAGGGCCACTGCTCATCCTGTTGCCTGGGCCAGTTCTGGTTTATGTTTTAAATCAAGTTTCCATCAAGTTGCATCTATGCTAAACATTCTACAAAGCTGATTAATGATTGTGGGATGTTAGACTTCTGTTAAGTCCAGTGCCAAATTATCTTGGGCTATCTTAGTCCCCTGAACAGCCTTTTATTTATTTCTTACCTTTATGTGTGACCTAACATCCCTGTGACTACTAGGTAATTCCTTTTAGACTGTGTGAACAAACTCCCTGGTTTCCACCAACCCAGAAGCTAAGAATGTCATTAGATAGCATCTGAGGCCTAATACATAGATTTCCCTGCTTTGCTGGAACCATCTACCTGATGCTTCCATGATTATATTTTAAAAGTGTCTTGATTTATAACTTTCTTTGTTCTATTACCATAACAATGTCATGAAACTGTTACCACATTGAAACATGGTATTTGGGGCAACCTGACTCTGTTCCTAGACCATGGTTCCTCGTATTTGGCTTCAGAATCATCTCTCTCATTTCCTCTGTGGTGAGAGTTGTATTTTTCTTGTCATCAATGTCATGGCCTTGTTTCTGTTAATAATGCTATTTTTTCCTACACCTTAGGCTGTCCGTAGTTGAAAGACAGCCTGTGGTGCTTCTGATCTCTTGGCATTTGTGGTTTGATTCTAGAGACAGCAGGGGTGTGAAGGATATTCTCACTTAAGAAGATAAGGTAGCAAGTGACTGACTTACCACCCAGGGCTGGGACCTGGTGATAATGACACTGGTTTTTCTTAGGAAGGATCTAGGGAAGAAGTTGATTCCACACTATATGTAAGGCTGCTTTGGACCTTCCTTAGGGAAAGAACATACTTGATAAGTAGCATGCTTGCTATAACCTCTTTATTCAAGTACTCAGTATAAGTAGTGTCATTCAAATGAAGGTAGAGCAGTGGGGGGTTGGGATGTAGCCCCGTGGGGGGTGTGTGCTGAGCAAAGTAGGCGAGAGATTATGGGCTTAATCCCCACAACCAAAACCCTAACAAAACCTGACAAGAGTCCCTAAGGCCACCCGTTTTACCCTTTTTTATCCATCCCCCCATTCACCCTGAACAACCTTAAAGTAAGGACTTAACAGTATGATATAACAATGGCAATGGCCTATCTGAATTACAGCAAGAACTTCTCATTTATCATTTCCTAAGGCAGTTTAAATTCCGTAGCAACTTCAGATACTGGCTCTAAGACCATGTTCACCCTCTTTGTTTTTATTAAAATATATTTTATTATTTTTATTTTATGTGTATGAGTGTATAGCCTGCATGTATCATGTTGTGCAATGCTCACAGTGGCCAGAAGAGGGCATCAGATCCCTGGAACTGGTGTTATGGGGTTAGCTGCCATGTGGGTGCCGTGAACCAAACCTAGGTCCTCTGTAAGAACAGCCAGTGCTCTTAACTGCTGAGCTATCTCTCCAGCCCTGGTCTTTTTTAGATAAGCTTTTCTAAACGTTTCCTATCTTCATCATGACTTATTGTAGAATCCCACAGTGAGATGTTAGGCACTTTAGTGGGGATTGGGCTTTATTCTTTATTGCGGTATTGTGGCTGTGAATAGTTCTGAAGTCTGGATTTTACGGAGATAATTGTTGACTCTGTCAATGGGTATATTCATGATACCGTGCCTATGAACCAATGCAATTCCTGGATTCATGTCTGAAAGCCAGCTCTGCAGAAATGACTTTTCTTGCTCTGTTGGCTCAATTGGGGGTCTCTGGTCACTGTGGCCTATGACTCCATGTCCTGCAGACTTTGGTGCCTCTCTGATACCTGGATTCTCTGGCCTGGAGGCCACTGTGCTTCTTGGACTCTAGTCCTGGGCACATGCTGAGGAGCCTTGAAGTAGAATGCACTTCATGGCATTTGTCAGGGCATCTTCCTACCAACTTTGCTATGTGAATGTCTCAAAAACATATGGTCTTCATAGATGCAAACAAAGTTCACCTAAGAGTCAGGATAAATCCAGAGAAGTTTCCAGGCTTCCCCCAGAGAAGGCACAAGGCCACCTGAAGTTTCAAGGCTAATTTGCACAGCAAACCCATGTTTATGGAAATGTGTATAATCTGGTGGCTGGGTTCAGTATTCACAAATGGTGGCTCTGTTCCTTTCTGACTTCTGACCTGTGACGTGTGCTTCCATGAATGTTCATTTCTTTTGTGGGAAAGCAAGGGTTGGAAAATGATGAATGCAAATCTGTCACATGTGGCTTATGAACCTGTTGATTTTTAAGGTCTAGAAGGATGGTAGTGAGTCTACTGGAAAATCAATAGACTTACATAATAATCATTATCATTTCTGTTATGTTTCTTACTTTCATACACATCCTTGGGGCTCGGTGGTTAAGAGCACTGGCTTTTTTTTTTTTTTTTTTCAGAAGAACCAGGTTCGAATCCCAATGCCCACATGGTGGCTAACAACCATCCCATAACTCTAGTTCCAGGGGATACAACACCCTCTTCTGTCTTCCTCTGGCATTGTACCACACAGGTGCACTTGCATACATGCACGCAATACAGACATCCACATAAAATAAAATAAAGCAAAAGAATACACATTGTGCTGGATAGCTTTAGTGTCAACGTGACACACCTGTGTTGAGGAAGCCTCAGCTGGGTAATTGTCCCCATTGGACCAGCCTGTAGCCATATCTGTGGGGCATCTTTTTGATTATTGAGCGATGTGAGAGGGCCCAGCCCACTGTGGGTGGTGCCACCCCTAGGCAGGTGGGCCTATATTGTATAAGAAAGCAGATTGAGCAGGGGCCAGGAGCAAGCCAGTAAGCAACATTCCTCCATAGTCTGTACTCCAGTTCCTGCCTCCAGGTTCCTGCCCTGAGTTCCTACCTTGGGATCTCTCATGAATTGTTACCTGAGAGATGTAAGCCAAATAAACCCTTTCCTCCCCAAGTTGGTGTTGGTCAGAGTATTTTGTCACAGCAATGCGGGAGCAAACTAGAACACACATCCTTTGAAAATTTACTTATTTTCATTTTATATGTATGAGTGTTTGCCTGCATTTATATAAGTGTGCCATGTGCATGCAATGCCTGCAGAGACCAGAAAAGGGCATGGGCTCCCTTAAAGCCATGGAGGTATTGGGAACTGAACCCTGATCCTGTGGAAGAGCAACTAGTGCTATTAACCGTTGAGCCGTCTCGCCAGCCCCAATATACATCCTTTTTACTTGTTTTGTTTGAGACAAGATCTTTCTATTTGTCCAGGTTGGCCTTGAAATCATCATCCTCCTGCCTCAGCCTCTCGAGGGCTGGGATTATTGGTGTATATCACCACACCTAGCTATGACAGTGAATTTTGGAGTCAGTAAAACTTCATCATCTTGGTGGGAAGAGTGTTCTAATAGCATCCTTCTGGACTATGGTCATCTAGAGACTTGAAAAGCTTGTTATTTGGGAATTTAGATAGGATTCTGTAGTTTATTTGTTTTCCTTTTGGGGAAACAAGGTCTTGCTCAGGCTGGCCTTGGATTGATAATCCTCCTGCCTCAGCCTTCTGAATAACTGAATAGTGTTCTTCTGTGCCTGGCCTATTACTTCTTAACAGGGAGGCAGCAATCCTGGAATTATTCAGGAATGAGCTCATTTCTTTTTCTTTTCCCTGTAGGTACACGGCCCAGGCCCAGATCCATCTTTACCACCCTATCCTCTTTCCACAGTTTGCTTGTGGTAGATTCTTGATGGACTGATTCTGTTCTCCTGGCAATGCCTGAGTAGGAGAAATGGCTGTGGTCAGATGGGAGCTGAGAAGACAGAATTTCTACCTGTTGAAGAGGAAGAGCTCATTGCTGTTGAAATTCACAGTTGTTGTCTTTTCTGTGCTTCTATTTTGTGAATTTTTGATCTATTACTTAGTGATCTTTCAGTGTCATTGGCCTAAGGTGAAGAGGCTAGCCCATGACCATGGGGAACAGGAGCCTGTGCTGAAAGCCATGTTTCTGGCTGATACCCACTTGCTCGGGGAGATAAGAGGCCACTGGCTGGACAGATTACGAAGGTAAGTGGTAAAGTGGGCAATCCTGGCATTAGGTAGACAGAAAAGCATGGCCCTCTGCCCAAGGCCATCTGAGTGACTATAGGTTACTACTGCTTACTGTTCTCAAAGGACAAGTAGGGGCTTTGACTTTTCCTCCTCCAATTTATTAAGCATGTATTATATTCAAAGCCACATAATTAGGGAGGGATCTGGAATGATGACTAGTTTCATGAATTTGGTGAGTCCCTGTCTCCTTGTCAGTAACCTGGTTAGTACAGGAAACATCACAGCTGTGTGAAGAATGTGCCTGCACATCCCCTGGCATCTGGAGGGTGCTGATCTTTGTTGGTAGCATCCTCTCATCTTAGCGGTGTGTGAAATGAATCCATCAGGTTTTAGGCTCCTCTGGGCATCAGGAGGCCCAGAGCAGGTGTGTAGCTGTCTCCCCAAGGGTCAGGTCTTGCCTCTCTGGCTCTGACCTGCCCTAACATTGTTTTTCCATCAGAAAGCATTTCTTGTTTTCTAACTATTTTGAATTGTAGTGCAATGTACAGCATAAGCTATCATGTTTTTAAGCAGACTGCCCCAATGACATTTGGCCTCACACAGTGCTGTGCATTTGTCACCACCATCCATATCTAGAGCTTTTCCTCCTTAAACTGAGAGTCCAACCATGAAGCACTAATTGCTTACTCTTGTCTCGTCCCTTGGTCCCTGGCAGTTGCCACTCTACTTTCTGTCTTTGTGAACATGGTGATTGCAGATATCACATGTCAGAGGACTTCTGCAGCATTTCCTTCTGTGACTGGCTTATTTCACTTAGCACATTGTCTGTCCAGGTTCACCTATATCATAGCACTTGTCAGATGCCCTTCTTAAAAACTAAATCCTATTCCCTTGTTTGGATCCCATATTTTTATTTGATTTTAAAGAAAGGATTCACTCTAGTCCTGACTGGCCTCAAATTTACTATAACCCAAACTGCCCTTGAACTTATGGAAATCCTCCTGCCTCAGCCTCCCACAAGCTAGAGTTACAGGAGTGAGCTTGGGCCAGTGAGTGTCCAGCTTGGGCCACATTTTGTGTTTCTTTTCATCTGTTGGAAGACACTGAAGTTGCCTCATCTCTTGGCTACTGTGACTAGAGCCCTCTGGCAGGCATTGATGGGGCTCTTACCAGGAGGTCAGTGATATTTTCTTCTTGCCACTGGTAACTCTGTTCCCAAGCTCCTTTTGATAGTTAACTTTCCATCACTGAAACAAAACACCTGACACAAACAGCTTAAAAGGATAAAACGTATATTTCGGTTAACAGTTGCAGAAGGTTTAGGCTCTCAGTGCTTTGCTGTGTTCTTTCTGGGCCCGAGGTGAGGCAGGGTGGTGGTGGAAGGGATGGTGGAACAGAACTACTCCAAGAACAAGATTCCCAGTGACCCACTTCCTCTAGCTAGGCTCCACCTCCCAATAAAGCATCGTACTGTGAATCCCCTAAAGACTTAGTACACTGGTGAAGTTTAAACCCTTAGGATCCAGTTATCAGCTGGCAACCAGGCCTATTACATATGAGCCTTGGGGGACATTGCGGCTCCAACTGTAACTCTCCTTACCACAGGTTACTTGTGCTCTAGAATATATTAGGTTTTTCAAGAGGCAACATCCTCAGAAACTGCAGATTTGGATGACTACTGTATTAGTTACTTTTCTGTTGCTGTGATAGAAACAACATGACCAAGGGAACTTATAAAAGGAAGAGTTTATTTAGCTTATGGTTTCAAAGGGGAAAGAGTTTACCACGGCGGGGCAGCATGGCGGCAGAGGTGGCTGGAGTAGGAGCAGAAGCTAAGCTCTCACATCTTAAAGTGGGTACAGGAAACAGAGCATGACTGGAAATCTGGCACGGCCTCTCTAAGCCCGCCCCCAGTGACGTGCTTCCAGCAAGGCCATACCTTCTAAGACCTCCCAAAACAGCACCACCAACTGGGTACAAAATGTCCAAATTTTGTCTTGGAGCCTATGAGGGACATTCTCATTCAAACCACCACAGCGACCTAACATTGGCAGGGTGTGATGTCCCCAGCATGGGTGAAAGTGGCAAGAGGAACAAAGAAAGGACAGAGGGGCTGCCAGGTCTTTCCAGGAAGAGTTTTGGTCACTGGGGGCATGAGCTAGAGAAGGCCAGAGTGAGGTTGCAGTTCCTGGGTTTTGTCTGGGCTTACAAAGGGGTCTTTACAAAGGTCAGCCCCTCTGGGCAGTTTCCCTACCCCTTTGTCACTGTTGGGGCTTTCCCACCAAGCTACCTCCAGCCCTGGAAAGACAAACCTTTAAGTAGTGATGCATATCCCGCAGTGGCTTATTTGGGGTCTGTAAAACCTACTCTGATATTTAAAGACGTTTTCCTTTATTTCTATACAGGATATAACATTCCTATTTAGAAAAGCATCATGGAGCATGCCTTAGAGAGAAGGGAAGGTTTGGGATTCTTAGGAAAATGACACCAGCTGGAGTTGGTGAGGGGAAACGGCAGCATTGAGGAGTATGGGTAGTTTAAAAATTTATTATTTATATTTTATGTGTATGAGTGTTTTGCCTGCATATGTGTAAGTGCACCCGTGTCATGCAATGCTGGCAAAGGTCAGAAGAGGGTGTCAGATCCCCTGGAACTGGAGTTATGGATGTTTGTTAGCTGCTATGTGGGTGTTGGGAACCAAAACTGGGTCCTCTGCAAGAGCAGCCAGTGCTCTTAACAGCTGAGCCATCTCTCCAACTCCAAGTATGGGTAGTTGAACACTTAGTGTGTGCCTGTGCTGTGCCAGGCACTTAACACTTTCTAATTTAGTCCTGTAACTGTAGAGGCAGGTGCTTTCTATTTTAAATAAGGAAATTAATTCTTTGGAGACCAGACTTCTATATAGTCCAGTCTAGCCTTGAACTCATGATCCCCCATCTCTTCCTCCTAGAGCTGGGATAACAGGAGTGTACCACTATGTTGGCAATGGAGGTGGGTGGTCTTAAAATCCTTACTTACTAAGGAAGAAAGTGGGAATCAGAAAGTAGGCATATTCTCAAGCCTTCACTCAGCAATAGGGGGAGCTGGGCTTTTAAGCCATTGTTTGTCAGATCACACATCCCAGAAATCTTTTCATGTACTTGTGAACTCACCTTCAAGATGATTACTCATATATCTGAAATCCACTGTATTTACGGTTGATATTTCTTTTTTCATTTCTCCCTAACTCTGAAGTTGAAGTCTTTTTAGGAAGTGAAGCTTGGGCTGGAGATGTAACTCAGTGGTAGAGCACTTTGCCAGCATGCACAAAACATGGCTCTGTCCCAATCCCTAACACCACAGAAAACAAAAACAGAAATATGAAACAGGTTGCATGCCAACTTCTCAGTGTCTTGCACAGAAGTCTGAACTGGGCCCCTCTCTGGAAGCTGTGTTAAGTTTTCTCATTGGTTGTTGCTCCATGAACTGATGGCTTTAGGGTGCAGTGTGAGGCCTAACTGGACGCCACACAGAGGAACCCAGCATTTGAGGGTGGGGGAGGGATGGCCTGACATTCCCCACATTTGATTAGATGTAGACTCATTGGCTGTTTCAAAGCTGAGGGTTGGGAAACAGGACTAGGACCATGGGAGATGAAGAATGGGACCATATAATTCACATTTTCAGTGACTCAGAAGGCACAAGAAATCTCCAAGAAACAGAATGATTCACTCATTTTTCTGTTGTCTTTAAGGGAATGGCAAATGGAAAGGGCCTTTCAGACAGCCCTGTGGTTGCTACAACCAGAAGTCGTCTTCATTTTGGGGGATATCTTTGATGAAGGGAAGTGGAGCTCTGCCAAGGTAGGATTCAAATTCTGCTTAGTTCTGATGTTGGATATGTGTAGTCCCATGGCTGGATGTAGCTCAGCAGTAGAATGGGTGCTTAGCACGCATGAAGCCCTTAGTTTGGTCCCTAGCACCCCCTCCCCCAAAGAATAGTCTATGTTGAAAACTGTGTCCAGTGCTCTATTTATGTAGGAAATATGTTATTTGCCAGACATCATTTCTTTAATTGGAATGCAGTCCTAGAACCTCCTGGGAAATGTAGAAATAGGTAGGATGGTGCGATTTCAGTTGTCACCAATATTACAAGATACATGCTGAAATAGACATTTAACTTCAAATACTTGTTTTCTTCCTTTGGTGGTTGAAGGGATTGAACCCAGGGCTTTGTGCATGCCAGGCAAGCGCTATACCACTGAGCTATGTTCTAGCCCCTAACTTTACCTTCTTAATTCTACCTTATGGGAATTGGGCTATAAAAGTTACTTGCTGCTACCCTCTGAGTTTCTTTCTTCTGGTGAGAGTTGAAGGATCCTCGTGGATGTGGTGTGAGGTTCCTCTGCCTTCAGGGGGCCCGAGACCCCTGCCAGATATTGGGATAAAGTAAACCTTTTCACAAACCAAGGAGAAAGGCTGTTTCACTTTAGCTTTCAGAATGCTTTGCTTATTATGTTTTTTTTTAAATCAAAATAACTATAATTTTTGTTCCACTAGCTACTTCAATATACGTAAAATCAGTTAACCAAAAACATTTTATTTTTTAGTTTTAAAAAAAACACAAACTTTTTTCAAGTAACCATGATTAGTTTAGAAAAATGGGTGTACATCTTCAAAGTATTTCCCTTTAACGGGAAACTTAGCATTATTGAATCTAAACATTAAAGGCAAAAGAACAGAATCCAGGAAATCCATTCATACTTCAGGCCCTTCTCCTCTAGGAACCAGCATTGTTATATTATTTCCATTTAGCAAAATCTGATCTAATTTAGTGATCCTTCTGGTGTGATTTCAAACTCTGTGACACCTTCCAGCACCATATTGACAAAGTCATCAAATCCTACAAGTGTGCTGACAATTTCTTTATCACTTTTCATTATAATGTGAATTCATGATCCTACACACTTGTCCACAAGCTCTAGAGGCAGGAGCTGCGAGGGGTTAGCGGTAGTGGTAGCTGCTGTGGCCATGCCGGAAATCACTTATTACATTCTTAGAATGAATGAAAAGGAACTTCTTGCTGTTGCTTTAAAAATTCTCAGCCACTAATGGTTTTTGGAAGGGATTTTATTTGGGGATTATTAAAAACAATCCATTGACATTTGCAAGAACCAAAAGCTGTACAAAAAAGTCTGGAGCAGCTGAGAAGGCGGCTCTGTAAGTAAAGGCACTTTTCGGCCAAGCCTGATGATCTGAGTTCATCCCCAAATCCCACATGGTGGAAGGAGAGAACCAACTCTGACCCTCCACCGTGTGCATATACATAAGTAAATTAGTCTAAAAAAATTTTTTTTTCAAAAAAGGTCTTGGCTTGGCTCTAAACCTCCTGTCTACACAATTGTAATGTTTATAAAGAGTAGTTTCTAATTAAGCATGACTAGAAATGCTCTATGTAAAAGCAACTAGATATACCATGAGATAGGCCATATATGTTGCTTTTGCATATTAACAGCAACAGCTTAAGATTTCTAAACTTGCTATTCTGATTTTATGTTATTCTAATTTTAAACATTTGTTAAGGTAAAATCTATACATATTTTGAAGGATTCTTAACTATCCAGCTTATTTCCTTAGGTTATGCCATGTTTAAAACTTTTAAACTAAAGTTGAATATTATCTAGAATAGTTTTTTCTTCCTACCTTAAGGTTTTTGTCCAATTGATATTTTGGGGCTTATCACAATGAGAACTAAACTAATGTAAATCTGAAGCTTCAATAGGTAAAGCAAATGTCAGAATAATCTGGACATATTTACTATTATGGTTTCAAACTGCAGCAGCCTCCCCCCTCTCCAACAGGGTCTCAGGGACTTTGGATTTCTCAAGCCCCTGAGAAAAGGGAACTGAGCTGATAAGCACCTTGGCCTTTGAAGTCAAGGGAAGCAGACTCTTCTAAGAGGCAGCCTGCCTTTCCTTTGATTTCTGAAGACAAGATAAGCAGATTCTACCTGTTAACCAGAGATTTTAGGAGCCGCTTTAGTACAGCAGCTTTTCCCTTATCTTAAGGGGACAAAAAAATAAACACTTTCTGACCCAGATCCTGGCTGGCAGACGGAACAGAGCCAGTTTTACAAGCCCCGCTTTTCCTGCCCCCCCCCGCCCCCATCACGCCTGATTTTTCCCCAAAATCTCCCCACCTCTGCACCCTGAAGCCCCCATATATAAGCCGAAGCTCACAGTCTGTGGGCTGACATTTTCCCTTCTCTGAAGGGAACGTGTCCCGTGCAAAATAAAGCTCTATCCCATTGAGAGTTTTATCTGTGTCTTGGTGCTTCCTCCTCTATTCGTTTGTTCTCCGGCAACTTTTTACCTATCATTTACTGCAATATGTCTCATCTGTCTTCCCTTCTCCCAGCTCTCCTGAGTTATCAGTCTCACAGTGTTAGCCATAGGGAAGTGCGGATTCTGAAGGATAGTGCCATCCTCGGCTTAGCTGACATATGATAAGGTTTACTTGACCTTTCCTGGATCTGTTCTTACAGTTCATCCAGACCAGAGATAATTCTTAAAATAGTGAAATGAGGCAGAGTAGGAGGAGAAGGGAAACTGGACTGTGAGATGGCTTAGCGAGTGAAAAAAGGTGCTTGTCTCATAAGTCTGATGCCTGAGTTTGATCCCCGGATCCCACAGTAGAAGGAGAGAACTGACTCCTGAAAGTTGTCCCCTGATCTCCACACATGTGCTATAACATGTATCCACATGAAACACACACACACACATTAATAATAATAATAATAATAATAATAATATAAAAAATAAATATAAACAAAGACAAGGGAAATCAGGGGGACTTGTGAAGGGAACCACATCTGGGTTGTATTTCTCACTGGCTGAGATCAAGAACTTCAAAACAACTGACAAAATCAGGGGAAACTAGAGATCTCAAATAAAAATATTAAACCAGCAAATGAACCATGTTTGCTTAGGGCTAGATGGCATGTGACCTTTGAGGTTAACTATCAACACTCCTCTGTCATCACTAAACCCAAACAGTGCCCCGCATTAACTACCTTATAATTTCATTCACTAAAGAAAATCTCAGTTGTTAAAAATTTTTATTTTTGAGACTGTGTCTTGCTGTGTTACCCTGGCTAGTCTGGAATTCACTACAAAGACCAGATTGATCTCAAACTTGAATTTACAGGTGATTCTCCTGCCTCTGCCTCTTGTATGCTGGGATTACAAGCATGTACTGCCATTCCTTAAACTGGAAATTCTTTAAGATGAGAAATACATAAACTAGTTCAGGTTTAATTTACCTAATTTTTTTTTTTTTTGAGACAGGGTCTCCCTCTAGCCCCAGATAGCCTGGAACTCACTATGTAGTGCTCACTATGTAGAACTCACTCCAGAGTGCTGGGATTAAAGGCATGTGCTCCCATGCCTGGCTATTTCACCTAATTTTAAATGTTAACTTTAAAACATGGCTTGATCTTTGGTCCTAGTTGTAAATTTCATCCTTTGACTATGTGACTTCAGAAGCCTCAAAAATCATACACATAGCTATTAATAAGACATTATTCTTCTTAATGCCTGCTCTTTAAATCTAAACCATGTACTATCTCCTATCTCTACTTAATAAACCTAACTCTAGAGCTGGGCATGGTGGCCCATGCCTTTAATCCTAGCACTCAGGAGAGGCAAAGGCAGGTGGACCTCTGGACCTCTGTGAGTTTGAGGCCAGTCTGGTCTATATAGTGAGTTCCAGACCTGCCAGGGATACATAGTGAAACCCTGTCTCAAAAAACTAACCAACTCTTTTGGTCTTTTTGAGACTGGGTCTCCTATAGCCCCAGCTGGCCTGAAACTCATGTAGACCAGGTTGGCCTTTATCTTATAAGAGATCCACTTGCCTCCAAATCTTTTTTTTTTTTCCCCAGACAGTGCCTCCCTGTAGGCCCAGCTGGCCTGGAACTAGCTATGTAGACCAGGCTGGCCTCACAGAGATCCACCTGCCTCTGCCTTCTGAGTGTAAAATTCTTTTCTGTGGCATAAGTCAAGATCCTGACTTCCCTGAATATCGATCCATAAGTGGGAAATTCCTCAGCTACAGTAGCAGATCCAGCTGCATTACCCACAACTGCTGATAGACACTGTCTTGGAGAAAGATAGAAAAAACTTTTAACTTTGCCTGGTGAAGTGCCTTTTCAAATAAAAAAAATAGTATTCTATTTTTTTGCCACAGGAAAGCGGGATTGTGGCCCTCAGTCATGGTTCTTGTTCCCTTAGGCCTGGGAAGATGATGTGCAGCGGTTTCAGAAGATGTTCAGACTTACCAGCACTGTTCAGCTGAAGGTGGTTGTTGGCAATCATGACATCGGCTTCCACTATCAGTAAGTAACCCAGCATGCCTCTCAGAGAGTGCTTGCTAAACCATTACAGTTTAAAGGTGCTAAAATTCAGGGGGAAAGCCTTGCTGGTGCTTTATTAAAGAAATCTGTTTTCCTCCAAAGATGTTTGCTCTGGACTGGAAGCTCCTGAAGAAATTTAAAAAATCTAGCTGGGTGTGGTGGCACACACCTTTAATCCCAGCACTCAGGTTTATCTCTGTGAGTTCAAGGTCAAGCCTGGTCTACATAGTGAGTTCAGGCCAGCTGGAGCTACAGGGAGGCCCTGTATCAAAAAAGACCAAAAAGAAATTTAAAAAATCTTGGCATATATCACACCCTTAAGTATCTGTGGCATGAATGAATTGTATGTGCGTAAGTATCTAACTTGAAACAATTTATGCATTTTTGTTTAAAATAAAAAATATTTTATTTATTGCATTAGTATGTGCGTGTGTGTGACAGCACACATGTGAAGGTCATAAGACAGTTGCTGGAGTTGGTTCTCTCCTTCCAACATGTGGATCCTGGGGATCAAACTTAGGTTGCCAGGATTGGGTTTGGCAGCATGTGCCTTTACGAGATGAGCCATCTCACTGGTCTTATATTTTGGTTTTTGAGACAGAATCTTCCTATAGCCCCCATTTGGCCTGGAACTCACTATGTAGACCAAGCTGGACGCCACCTCACAGAGATCCACCTCCCACTGATTCCCAAGTACTGGGATTAAAGATGTGTTACCACCATGCCCTGATATTTTTGTTGTTGTTTGTTTTTGAGACATCATCTCACTAAGGTAGTTCAGACTAGCCTTGAATTTGCAACCTTCTTGCTTCAGCTTCTGGATTGAAATGTACATTTAATGACCAACAGTTTATTTTTAAGTCAGTAGCTCCCTTTATATAGTTCTGTGCTGCTTATGTGCCAAACACTTAAAATACTTGACTTCCAATCTATTATGAACTCAGTCTTTTCTGTGGTTTTGTTAGTTTGCTCATTGTTCCACTGAGGGCACTGCAGTCCTAGGGAGCTCAGTAACTTGCCTCATGGTAAGTAGTGGAGCTGAGATTTGAACCTTGATTGCCTGGGACTAGTTAGAGCCCTTAACTAATAATACCACACCTTAGAAGTTAATTTTCATGTTAATGGTAACTTCAAGGTTCTAAGACAGCTTAATCTGAAAGATGTTTCTCTTTATAATTGGCTATAGGATGAGCAAATACAGAATAAAACGATTTGAGAAAGTGTTCAACTCTGAAAGGCTGTTTTCTTGGAAAGGCGTTAAGTGAGTATTATTTGTAAGTTCTTGAGTCCTTGGAAACTTTTTAAAATGAGGTTCTGGGAGTGGAGCTCAGGGTCTTGGATTTGCTAAGCATATACTCTACTACTGAGCCACACTACTACACCCCACCCCCGCCTTGCCCCCAGCTCAAACAGAATTTTCAAAGGTGATTGCCATACTTGGTCAGACCCATATTGTGTGTAACTTTGTCTTATTTGTTGATAGTCATTGTGGGAGTTGACAGATGGGAAACTTAAAACCATGCACTCTGCCCAGCCACTCATGGGCAGAAGATTCTGCCTGCACTATTTCCAGCCTACTTTGTAAAGGTGCTTTTGCGGCTCTTTTTGTTTTGTTGTTGCAGACAGGGTCTTGCTGAGTTGCCCATTCTTGTCTCAAATTTCTGGGCTCAAGTGATCTACTTGAGCCTCTTGAGAAACTGGGACTGCAGACATGTGCCACTGTGCACAGCTTAGAGCACCTTTTAAAAAAATTTTATTTATTTATTTTATGTGTATGCGTGTATTGCCTGCATGGAGGTAAGTGCACCCATGTCATGCAATGCCGTCTCTTCTGAGAGGCCGTCGGATCCCCTGGGACTGGAGTTATGGACAGTTAGCTGCCATGTGGATATTGGGATTCGAACCCAGGTCCTCTGTAAGAACAACCATCTCTCCAGCCCCTAAAAAAGCTTTTTATTCCATCAAAATATATTTGTATCATTTTACGAAGGCTGCTTCCATCATCACAGTATCCTGGCATTTGGTACCAAGAGTCTTCTAAGTGTTTGTGTAGCTTTCTGGGTCAGCTTTGACTTTTAGAGCATCCTAGCCCTTAGTCTGGTCATTGGTGCGTCCACTCCAGGGCCACTCCAGACCTTTTCTGGATTCTGTTGACAATGCAACCTGCAAGACTGTGCCCTGCCCTGGAGTGGAGAGAGGTGGAGGAGGAAGTCTTTTCTGTCTTAGTTTTTTCCCTTCTGTGGGTCCCAGAACTCTGTTGACTGAACTACAGCAGCTCCTGGGCTACAAGTGAGACCATTGCTGTAAAGTGCCTGGAGATTAAGTACTGTGGGTTCCCCATCAACACTCCTCCTGTCCACCCCCAATGACTCTGCTTTCTAGCAGTACCTTCCTTTCCTGCATAACCACGGGGTCCTGATATCACTGAGTCACTTCCCCCCTAAATGTAGTGCTCTAGAAATTAAACATGCGATTGTGATCACTTGATTACCTGCTCTTTATACTGAAAATTGTTTAAAATTTAAGTAGTCTACTGACAGGTACCTTTCCCATGTCTAGGTGGTATATGCATAGGACACAAAAGCATATTTTAGCAGCAGTTCATATAACAAAGGTAGAGGCTAGTCAAACTTGACTTCAGTATCCTGGTTAGGGATGACCTAAGCCCAGTCAGAAGCAATTGGCACTGATTCTTCCCTGCTGAGTGGGTGTCCCATGCGTATCAGAGCCTTCCTGATGAATATGTGAGCTCCTGGGTCCACTCTAATGTTCATTGTTCCATGCACCTGCTGTGATGTTTCATTAACTTTTTACCACCAGCTGATGGTGTGAGCTTCCTGGCCTATCATCACCTGCACAGGTGAGACACAGGCGCAATAACTTGACCAAGGACATGTTTCTAACTGGATGCTAGGTGATGGCGGCGGGGGCAGTCAGACCTCAGGGTTTCTGTCAGTGGCATTTCCTCAAGTTACATGTTAGTCTCACCTTTCAGTTGGAGGAAGAGAAATAACCCCAGCTTCTTCCTATCTTGGCTACAACTTCCAGTAATGCTATTTTTCTTTTGTTAGTATTAACTCACAAAACAATATAGCTGAGATTAGGCTGCCCTGGGCTGGTTTCTTCATGCTTTGGATGCTTAATGTTGTTTCTGTGGGGACAATGGGACAAGCTCACACAGGTGCCCAAGGCTTGACCTTCCGCCTGCTCCTGTCTGCCTCAGTTTTGTGATGGTCAACAGCGTCGCGATGGAAGGGGATGGTTGTAGCATCTGCTCTGAAGCAGAAGCTGAACTCCTGGAGATTTCTCATAAACTGAATTGCTCTCGAAAGGTAGGAGACCCAGCTGATCAGCACAGGCCTCTGCTCTCAAAAGGCAGGCACTATAGCCTGTGTGCTTGCTGTTAGTCACCCAGCTCCCTTTCCCTCCTCCACTGGATGCTCACTAAGTTTGCTGGGTTAACAGCTGACTTCTAACCAGCAGGTGCAGGGATCCAGCCACTGTGAAGGTGGGCAGCGTCTCCCCTCGTCGGCCCCAGTGTTGCTACAGGTGAGCTAGGGGAGGAAATTGAATAGGGCCATCTAGGCTTCTGAGAATACTGTTGACGCCACTTTAATCCTGAACAGCACTACCCGCTCTATCGGCCCAGTGATGCTAATTGCTCTGGCGAAGATGCAGCTCCCCCAGAGGAAAAGAACATTCCATTTAAGGAGAAATATGATGTGCTTTCTCGGGAGGCTTCCCAAAAGGTGCAGTGTGTGGTGATGTGACCTCATGCCAGTGTGGCTCTCCCCTAATTAAACTTCCACAGTACCATGTGGGGACAGTGTGCTCAGTGGAGCACACAGGGCCTTTGTAATTACCAGCTGTAGGAGGGGGAGGGCTTGACACGATTCGATTGCTTTGTTCCTTTTCTTTTTGGGGTAGATCTACTATTTCCTAATCTCCAGCCAATAATGCTCAGCTAATCTTTAAAAGTTTTTCATCAACTTAAATGGTTTGGGAGGTGTAAATGAAACTTGAGTCCAGTTTTGGGGGATTTAATTAGAAAAGTACTTTCTTAAGTATGTACATTTAATATGTATATTTAAGAAAAGTATACATAATAATATATAACATTTATATACTATAAATATATAGCATATAAAATGTAAATATATAAATATGAATATGTAAGTATAAAATGTAAACTATAAATATATTTAAAACACAAATATACTGTGGAGTATATTTATGAAACAAAGTCATAAAAATAAGATAGCAAATATATAAAAATCTGTGATAGGAAGAGTAGATTCTGAGTGTAACAGGGGTCTGAAGCAGAGATAAGCCAGTCCTCCATAACAAGGATTAGCATCTATTTGAATGGGAGAGTGACCCAGCCAGTGGTCCTGGAAGAGCCATGGGGGTATCACCACCAGTCTAAGTACTAAATGCCTACCTGTGTTTCCTTGGCTGCCAGCTTCTGTGGTGGCTTCAACCGCGCCTGGTCCTGAGCGGCCACACGCACAGCGCCTGCGAGGTGCTCCATCCCGGAGGAGCCCCCGAGGTGAGCATCCCATCTTTCAGTTGGAGGAACAGAAACAACCCCAGCTTCATCATGGTAACGTAAAAGTTTATTTTTTGTCAGAAAGCTTTCATAAGTATTGAAATCAACACAGTAATCAACTATTTAATTGCTGCAATCTGTAAAAATATACAAAATCCAGAAATAAATTGCTCTCTTTGCATTCTGAGTTCGATATGCTGCCCGTCTCTAGTCACCTGTTGGGGAACACATAAGTAGAACATGGCTTGGGTGGTGAGGGGCAGCTGCCAGAGTTATCCTTCGAGAGGAAGGTGGAAGCCCCCATGTTACACTGAGGAGTGGTTAGGTTTCTAAGGAGAGACTTGCTTACTCATTAGCATACTCAGTCACCTCACATTTCCTAAATGTGCCCGTCAGACAGCATTTTCAAGTTGGTGAAAGATGTTGATTCAATAAATGACCACCTGACGTTTTAGCACCTTCTTGTTAGCCATGAATTCCTACACCCAGTTTTTATGCTCTTCTACAGTTCTACTTACAAAAAGGTGGGGGTCCCTTGTGTTTTCAAGTTCAAAGTATGTGAAAACATTTGCTACTGTGATGCCATGTTGCAAACTGCCTACAAACAGCTCACGGAGACGCAAGGGCATCTAATATGCACAGTTAATATACATATTAACTATTCTGTGCAACTGAGTGCCTGCTCAAGTGACAGGAAAGCACTCTTGTATTCCTGTTTGTCCAGGACTGTTGCCTCTTGGGCTCCATGCCCCTCACTGGGTCTCTTAGGGGCTGCCTGCTGTTTGAGGGATGTTTTAATGGAGGGGTCGGCATTCCAGACCAGCTCTCCAAGCCATTGTGGCTTCGGCTTTGTGTGTATGTGTGTGTGTGGGTGTGTCTGTGTGTGTGTGTGTGTGTCAGTGCCTGTGGTTGGTGGTGACTTGTTAGCCCCTTGGTCTTGATGACACATGCTCTTCCCTTCTGCCCTACTTGAGGGAACTCTAGAAGACATCCATTCCTGTATTGTCTCTTAGTTGGACTGCTGTACCTGGGACTCACACTGCAGCATAAACTTTCCATTTCTTCCCCAGGGCAGCCTGACGTCCACAGATTATGCCCTCTCCAAGTGCTACCTCCCGTTTGAGTGCACAGTGCTGACCACCTACTGTGCAGCCGCTGGCTTCCTTGTGATCCTTATCTTAGCTCACTTTGAGTTTTCAGCCTCATCTTTTCTGTTTGGTTGGAAACAGAGGAGAATGCACATGACAAGATGAAAAGCAGGTGCTTGTTGCATATGGTAATATATATCAGAGCCAAAGACAGAACTTGAAGCAACGTTCCTGTTAGTCAAGACAGAGAACAAATCTTGGCTGTCCTTGCACACATCAGAATCTTTTGATGCCAGTGACTGCAGAATAAATAGTTGACTGTCCTGTCTCATGCTCTAAAAGGGAACATGTACTCTACAGCAAATTTGTGTTTTCATTTTATCAAATATATGTATAATCAAAGGTTGCACCTGTACAGTATGTAAATGTTATGGACACTGTCACTCGCATGCACAACACACAGCCCTTGCTTCCCCAGGAAGGACCCAGCCGCTCTGGTACACGCTGTGCAATGTGTGCACATCAAAATGGGTTGGTCTGTCTCTCATCAAGGTGGATTTCAAATTCCTATATAGTGTGGAGTTGTGCATGTAAAAGTATAGATTCAGTGTGCCAGGAACATGTGTTTTAAAAGGCTTTCTGTGCTAATGAAATCAGACATTTAGATAAATGTAATTTTCTCTCCAGGAAACTATGTTGTCACATTGAATTTAATGCCTGTTGATGATCAAAAATTGAAAAAAAAATGGAGGAGTACATGGATTTTTGTATTTAAAAATAAATGGCATAATAATTTTAGTCCAATAAAGCCCATTTTTTTTTCTCTTTAAGAGCCCATATTTTATTTTGTTTGAAGCCAGGACCTTATGCATACTAAGCATATACTCTATCACTGAGTTATAGTCCCAGCCCCCATCCAGCTTTTTTGTTTGTTTTTGAGGCAGGATCTCCCTGTAGACCAGGTTGACCTCAATCTCACAGAGATCCGCCTGTCTCTGCCTCCTGAGTGCTGAGATTAAAGGCATGCACCACTATACCTAGCAGCTTTCTTTTTGTTTACTTTGAAAGTGCAAGGAGAACAGAAAATCATTTTTATTTTATGTCTGGGTTCAGATGCAAGTTTCATGTAGTGATGGAGAATGGCCCAGGAAGACAGCAGTGGCGTGCTGAAGAACGCACTGTACTGACTGTCTGTAAAGTTGCCATCCTTTCATGGAAGAGCGTGCCAATCAGGATGAGTTTATTAAACATTATACAATGCTGATTTAGAGCGTAAACTGGAAATGACTAAAAGGATGAAGTAATGCAGACTGTCACATCTTTGTATTGTTGAAAATTTAACTTTGGGTATCTTTAGAGGTAACTTTAGACCTAAGAGAACTGTCTGCAAAGCTGCAGCTGTGGAAAGAGCGTGCAGTGTTGCAGCAGCAATTGCATTTTCTAGGTGTTCTGCTGAACTGTAACAGAAGGCTGCATTTGCAGATCATGCATTTGTGAGAAACAGCCATTTTTTTTTGTCTTTACATTTAAAATAAAGGTTTTGTAGGGCTGGAGAGATGGCTGGGGATATGGCTTAGCAGTAGAGTACTTGCCTAATATGCATTAGGTCCTGTGTTCATCCCTAGCACTACAGATAGAAAGAGGATAGATAGATAGATGATAGATAGATAGATAGATAGATAGATAGATAGATAGATAGATAGATGGATAGATAGGTTTTACAGTATTTCATCTAAAAAGATGCCATCCTTACTGTCCTCAGTCAGACACAACATTGACACTTGGTTTTTCTCTTGCCATTTGTTTTCCTGTGTGCAGAACCTTGACTATGGGATGATTGGGCTGCTCCTTCCTAGCAAATCTGAAGGAGTCATCATCCCCGCCCCTGGGAGGAAAATCAGATCCTCAGTTCTTGAAAGGAGAATAAATTATAATTTGTGCCTTGGAATTGGGTCATTCCAGAGTTTGCAGCTGAGGTTCAGAGCAGGTGGGTTGCAGAATTTGTGATGTCAGGGTGACACTGCTGGTAAAGTGGGTAATTCTAAAATCAGTGCATATTCCAGAAGGACCAACCCAATAAAAATATCCAAAGTTGAACAGAGACACCACTGATTCCCCACTTTGGAGTAAGCAGCAGGCCATGTGGATATCTCAGCGCTGCTGGAACACAATTCCTTACGGGTGTGACCATCACCAAGGCACAGAACTCAAGGAGTTTTCTTTAGGAGTGATACAAAAGAAAATTACATTTTGTGGTCTGTACAGTCTAATAAACCAACAACAAGAAGAAGCTATGAAAGACTATGCCCAGCTGTCAGGAAGGCGTAGAGGACCAGTAGAGGACCGTTTACAGACGGGACACTTTGCAGTATGAACACGGCAGGTTTTCTGCCTGAATGTAAAAGGCCCCAAGAAGCACTCTCATCTAAATGCTTGAGGCTTGTAGCCACCACAAATATGACTGAAAATGGTTTATCTTGCTCTGTTGCTGGCTTGGGGTCTACTCTAAGTCTTGGGACAGTGCAGATCAGAAGGGGAAGCCACCTGTTAACCTGCAATTTCATAAAGGGAAAACCAAAAAGAGTAGTGCATAGCACTGTGCGTACAATTTTGCGATCATGCGTGATAACTTGAAAACAATATATTTCCCCCATTTACCAAGCTGTCTTTGATGAGTCAGTCTATCAACCAATCAATCCAAGAATAAATGAGTCCCCACCCAGAGAGATTTCACTGCAGTGTCACTCAAGGGAGAGAGTTGGTGGCTTTGCAGTGATACAAATTGGTGGTGGGAGGCTGTTGTATCCAGTGGAAACAAAAGCTACAGAACCAAACCTTGGGGGACAGAGGTAGCCAGAGGCTTGGTGGTCACACATAGGCATAACCAGGACAGGACAGATGGCAGCCTGATGACCCTAGACACTCACTCACTATACCCTACCATGGCTTAGGTGGACGGACACGCAGGCTGGGGGAGATGCACTGCCTTCTGAGGTGGCCAAGAGGGAGGAAAGGCGGCAGAGAGGAGGAGGGGTGGGTGGCCCTCACAAGAGTTCGTACTGCTTGAGGTGCATCCTCTGGATGATGTCACGACAGTCGTTGAACACTCTGCGGATGTTCTCCGTGTCCACAGCACAGGTGAAGTGAGGGTAGCAGTAGTGTTTGCCATCGCCGGTGGCCGTGCTGATCCTCTGCAAAAGAGTGTCATGCTCAGGACCACAGGACACTGCTACAGTCCAGTGGGAGGGAGCTTGGGGGACACTTGGTGCAAGAACTAGAGGGGACTTAAGGCAGACTGGCTACTGGTCCCACAAGCTGTCCACATACAGAGTATGTCCAGAGCACGTGCCAGGACTAGACAGTCTTAAGTTTGTCTCTGCTGCAGGTGCTGAGTGCTGACCTGAGATGCAGCACTGAATTGGAGAGGGTGAGCAGGTTAAGATTTTCCAGAATTGGACCAGCATGTGTGTATGCTGGCATGGTAGACAGAAGTTGCCATGTTAGTGGAAATGTTCCCTGCTCCGGAAGGACCATCAAATTAGTAGCTACAGCTACTACCACAGATGCCACTGAGGGCTCCTGTTTGTTTTTTTGAGACAGGTTTTTCCCGTAGTCCCTGTTGGCCTTGAACTTTCTATATAGATCAGGCTGGCTTCAATCTCACAGAGATCTGCCTGCCTCTGCCTCCCAAACACCAGGATTAAGCATGTGCACTATCATACCTGGCTTATGGAGCTGATTTTTAACTCAGTTTTAATGCATTCATATTTATTTATTTTAGGCAGGGCACTCTGGCACACGTGTTTAATTCCAGGCAGAGGCAGGTGGATCTCTGAGTTCAAGGCCATCCTGATCTACATAACTAGTTCCAGGTCAGCCTGGGTTACATTAGTCAGACCTGATCTCAAATAAAATTATTTATTTTGAGGCAAGGTCTTGCTATATTGCTTATGCTGACCTCGAACTCCCAGGCTACAGCCATCCTGCTGCCTCCTGAACAGCAGGGACCACAGGCCTATGCCATCTCATAAACTAATTTATTTAAGCATACCCATGTGATGGGGTCTATGTCGCCACCACGCTGCTGCCTCCCCTGCACAGGTAATCCGGGTGTTTGTGGGGGGTGTCTGTGAGAAAAGCTCTTTGTTGTTAACAGTAGGACACATTAAACACGTGTTGGGGGGAGCGGGGGGGCGGGGCTTGTGTCTGAAACTTCCCTGGGTCAGGCTGGGGAGAGGTATGGCTGAATTGAGTCTCCAAACTTGCATGTTGGATCTGAACCCTTAGGGCTTCAGAATGTGCCTGCATTTGGTGACAGGGTCTTTAAAGAGACAATTTGGAAAAAGTAGGGCATTGGGGGTGGGGGTGGGGTGGAAAGATGACTCAGTAGTTAAGGGCACTGGCTGCTCTTGCAGAAGACCCAGGTTCAGCACCCACATGGAAGCTAACAACTATCCCTAACTCCAGTTCCAAGGACTCTGATGCCTTCTTTTAGCCTCTGTAGGCATTTCATGCATGACTACACTTACATACATGCTGGCAAAACAGTCTTACACATAAAACAAAAATGAATTTAAAAATGAGACAATTAGGGTAAAATGAAGTCATTAGCCAAAGTGTGATCCAAAATAACTGGTATCCCTGAGGTTAGAACTCAGACATGTAAAAGAGGATTGAGTGGTGGAGACACAGGGCAGGGGCGCCAACAGCTAGCTAAAGAGTGCAGCCCCGGGAGTTTCCTTGTTGGCACCAGATTTCAAACTGCGGCTTCCAGAGCTGCAAGGAAATATTTCTGTTGGTTAAGCCTCCAATGGGAGGCTAAGTGGGATGTAAGTTTGTGGGATCCCACTCTGCAGTTCCCACAGCCTCAGGAGATGCTGTAGAACTTTTCTGGTCACATGTGGCCACTGCAAGGACCCTGGGCCTCCTGGCCAACCCCCTTTGTAAAAACATCTTGGGACACAGCCTTCAGGGAGCTTCTAAGACCACAGGAAGGATCTTGGAAAAAAATGTTCATCTGACTATGAAACTCTTTAGAGGTGGCCAGATGAATGTTAACTTCGTGTGTGTGTGTGTGTGTGTGTGTGTGTGTGTGTGTGTGTGTGTGTGTGTTTGTGTGTGTGTGTGTGTGTTGTATGTGTGTTTCTGGAACCCAGTGCCTCAAGCATGCTAAATAGGCCAAGTGTTCTACCACTGAGCTATAGCCCCAACTCTGTTTTTCATTTTTAAACTTATGGATGCTGAAATGAATAGGCTATATATCTTTTAGCCCTAAAGTCTCTGCCCAGATGGAGCAAGCACAGATACCCTAGTTCTGCTGCTTGACTGCCTCGGCTATGGACTTGATAGATCTAACTCCAGCCTCCCCAGGGCTCTGACTGCCACAGGCCAATCCCTCAATTCAAGATGGACGTTAACACCACTGAATCTTTATTTCCCTGGACTTACAAGGTATCCAAGCCAGGGTTTATTCTCTGTCAGGGAAAAAATGTTTATCTAAGGTTGGAATGCCCATTACATTGGCAAAGGCATAGATCTTTCCTAATCTTCCTCTAAAAGCCCACTGTTTTCAGCCTTAGTTAACTTTTAGTTCTTGTTAGAAGAGCATTTTATGGGTCATTTGTGTGTGTGTGTGTGTGCGTGTGTGTGTGTGTGTGTGTGTGTGTGTATGTATGTATGTATGTTTTAGTTTTTGAGATAGGGTCTCTCAGTAGCTCCAACTGGCTTGGAACTCACTACGTAGACCAGGCTTGCCTGAATCTCATGGAGATCTACCTGCCTCTGCCTCCTGAGTGCTGGAATTAAATGTGTGCATCACCATACCTAGGGTGCGTTTATATTTTATGGACTTTAGAACAACAAAGAATTCCTTGGTCTATTATGAAGCACACTTCCTTACTGGAATGATTTTCAGGTTGGGTATGGTAGCCCAGACTTGTTCTCTTAGCTACTTGGGAAGCTGAAGCAGGGGTGTCACAAGCTCAAGGTCATCTTGAGCAACTATTGTGGGGGTGGAAAGCTTTTGCAATGTGATGGTAATTAAGAAGTTTGCAACAGGAAAGCCTCACTGTGCAGGAGTCAGACCTGTTAGCCTTAAATTAAACTTCATCTCCTCACCTGACTTCGGCTGTTGGTCTCTGATTTTTCCATAACACAACTTAGTGAGACCCTGTCGCAAAATTAAAACGGTTGGGGATGTAGCTCAGTGGGAGGCGTGTGCCTGGCATGCTTGAGGCTTTCTATGTGCCCTGGCACACTAAGGGCTCTGAGACACTGGTCATAAAGAAAATGGTTCACTGTTGAGTTCATCAGGTCTCATATTTATTCATTGTAGAAGCTTTCACACACTGACCTTCCCATCTTGGAGAAACTCTTGTTCCTCTCTTGAAACTTGATTGGAACCCAGAGCCTTGCACATGCTAGGTAAGTGCTGTCCTATTGAGCTACACCCCCAGCCCATGCAACTTGGTTTCTTGTTATTTTCTAACTCACTATAAGGTTTTTGAAAGGGAACTCATCCTAGGGGCATGGTGGGAAGGAGACAAAGGAAGGGCATGTGGGAGTGCTCTGGACCAGCTCTGCACTGACTGGGCCAGGACTCCCACTTGTCTAGAAGTGGACAGTCTGTCAGCGTTTGTTAGTGCACCCAGAGTCTTACTAGGAACATGCTCTTCAGAATGTCTTCACATTTTGCAGTTTTAAGCTAACAAAAGCCTCATAGCCAGCTACACGCAGTAGGTTATTACAAAGTAAAAAATGTTCAAGGCCTGCTAGCACACACTGACAATCCTAGCACACAGGAGGTAGAGGTGGAAGAATTGTAAATTAGAGGCCAGCCTGGGCTACATAGTCATAGTCTGTCTCAAAAGTCCAAGGGCTAGGATGCAGCTCAATGGCATAGTGCTTGCCTAGCATATAAAAGCATTGAAAACAGACAGACTGACAGACCAACCAAAACCAAAACCAAACCAACCAACTAACTAGACAAACCACAAAATTATATAGCAAATGTGGTAAAATTTTACCAATTGCTCAATTTGAGTGAAGAGTATGTGGGAATAATTGGCATAATTGTTTCACATTTTATATATTTGCAATCATCTCAAAACAAAAAAGTTGGTAAAAAAAAAAAAAAAAAAAAAAAAAAAAAAGCCAGGATTTGAGCAAATCCGTTTTCACATTAGCCTGCTGGCATTTTTGGTGGAGAAAGCAGGCACTGAGGTTCAGTGTTCTTCAGGCTCTGTATAAGGGCTTGCTCCTTTTTGGAGAACACAAGTAAATGTTGGAGTCCTGCTGATTGCTGCTCCCTTCTGTGTGTACTGGAGGCTCTGTGCTGCTTGGTAGGAAACCTACGCTCTCTGAATTCTCTGTGCCGAGGCAGGAAAGGCTAATTCCTTCTCTCTTGGCTCACGATTTTGGGACACAATGAGATCATTTAAGGAGAACTATCAAACTACTGAGAAAATTATTACCATAAGGTGGTAAGAAACAAAAGGCTGACAAAATTGCTTACCAAAAACAGATCTCGGATAAAGAACTTGGCTCTTGTAACTTTGGGATCTTCTCCAGCATCTGGTGTTGCTGTAGAAATAGAAAATGAAATCTTACTGAGTTGATACAGAACATCAACAGACACAGCAGTATGGCAACAAAGAAGGAGTCCCGAAGTTGGGCTGATATCTAGTCACATGTGTGGTGGGGCAAAATTTTTTTTTTTTTTTTTTTTTTTGTCTTTTTGAGGCAGGGTCTCCCTGTAGTCCCAGCGGATCTGAACTCACTATGTAGACCAGGCTGGCCTTGAACTCACAACGATCCACCTGCCTCTGCCTCCCGAGTGCTGGGATTAAAGGCGTGCGCCACCACGCCCGGCTAATCTGTATTCGCTTTTCACAAATCATTTTAATAGGCTCTGAGAAAACTTTGCTTTGATAATGCTGTGGTCTGAATGTGCTCATTCTCCTTAATTCTTGTCTTATTCGGCTCTAATGCAATAGTAGGTGATTAGATTACAAGGGGCTCTGCCATTAAAAGTGGGATATAGTGCTCATATAAAAGACCTTGTTGGTGTCTTCTACCAGTCAAGGACACAGAAATTTATGAAGAGAGAGTGGGCCTCACCAGATTCCAAATCTGCTAGTGTCTTGGACTTCCAGCCTCCAGAGCACTTCTGTTGTTTATAAATCATCCTGCCTAAGGGCATTTTATTATAGCAACTCAAACACACAGGTTAGGAGCAAGTCATATTTGCTCAAGAAAGCATCTTCCTGGATTCTGACAAGCTGAGCCACCTTCCCCTTCCTATTCCCCTGCAGACCTATGGCAGAGAGAAAGGCTGTGCTGTCTGGGCTGCACTCAGCCTCCATTGTCCTAGCTTTTAGGAATGCTCCCTTCCAGCTGCTTCATAGACTCAGGTCTGGTGCCTGAGGATATTGGCTGCTGCAGTCCCTGTGGCTGTTAACCCAAATGTGTTCTGGAACCTTTGGGTCTGGTGGAGTCTCCACCTCTGGAGAGGCCTTGGTCCTTCATCTCGTGGGAACTGGGCACTAGCTTTATCAAGGGATGACTTATAGACACTACACTACATATTTCCTTTTTTTTTTTTCTTCCTGGCATCAGCTTTGCTAACTGACTGTCTCAGCAGTGCCTAAACTACATATTTCAAATGTACAATTTGATACATCTTCACATGTACCGGCTTATCAAATAATCACTATGAGCAAAATAAAGAGCAATCAAAATAATGAGTAAGCAATCAAAACGACATGTATCCAACACCCCCAAAGGTATTCCCTACTTCCTGTGCAGCCTTTCCTTCCCATTCCCAGGCAAGCATGTTTCTGGCACGAGGGACTCTATCCCCTGTACTTTACACAGCCTGTGTTCCTTTCATCTTGGATTCATTCATTCTGTGTAGCTGATGTGTGTTCCACCCTCATTGTTATATGAACCCATTCTTTCTTGCTTTTCTTTCTGGGTAAGTCATGTTGAAAACCACCAGGTTGGATGGTGATTTGAGGCTACCAGCAAGTGCCATCCATAAAAGGGAGAGGGGGAGTCCCAGAGGAATTGGACACACAGTACCAGGAGACCAGCAGTCACTGGGCCTGGCAGCTGTTGCTGTGGAGCCTTTTGAAGGACAGCTCAGCCTCCTCCTGTAGAACAGGTTAAGCCACCAGGTTGGTGCCCTTTTATGGAGCATAGGCAGGGTATGGTTGTGTTTCAGAAAGATGGCTGTGATAGAGAGTTTGAGGATGTTCTGCAAAGGTGAGTAACTATATAATACACAGAGACTAGGTGGGAAGCTGTGACAGTCACTGAGAGGAGGGGGATGAGGCCAGGGCTGGAGCAGGAGTGGGGAAAGGAGGAGAGGGCTGAAGAGGTGATGTTTGGAGGAAGCACCTCAGGACTCAGCTACTGCCAAGAGATAAGTGAGGGGCAGGAGGAGGCTGGGAAGCATGGAAAGACAACCTCCTGAGAGGTTGGTGAAGTTAGCCACAGCCAGAAAGTGTGGCTATCCTTGGAGAGCTCGAGACAGGGTCTGACTGTGAACTAGCATCAAAGATAGTACTGAACTCACTGAGACTTGAGTGTGATCTGACCTAACCTGTGGTGGGGCAGGTGCTGACTCTGATGCAGATGCTCTGACCACCCAGGCAATGAATTTTTGTGTTTAGACTCGGGTCACGTCCCCAAGAGTTTCAAAAACTGAAAAATTTGAAAAATCCTAAAACCCTAACAATTCTGGTCCCAAGTGTTAATCCTAATTTTGGATAAAGGATACTCATCTAGAACTTTAGATAGAGCAGCAGACAGGAAAATTTATACTGAGAGACTTTCTTAGATTCCTCAGACATGTCTGAATTACGCATTCAGCAGGGCGTAGCAGCTTGCCAATATAAAGTTCTGTTTTCTTTTACTTGAAAGTAAATATAACACCTTATTTTTCTGGTAGAGAGAGAGAGAGAGAGAGAGAGAGAGAGAGAGAGAGAGAGAGTTGGGAGTGAGACCTGTGCTTCGTTTGAAATCTTACCATCTTCAGGAACAGTATAATTTGCATACTCTGGGAAATAGTCTTCAATCTTTGATTTCCCTGCTAGGACTTTTTCTGCCAGCATATCCTGTTTGTTCAAGAACAAGATGATAGAAATGGTTCGTAACCACCTAGAGAAGCGGGGAGGAGGGGTGGTGGTCAGAATATTGGCATACGAAAAACCTCTAATATTAGCATTAAGATTAAAAAGGGGAACCATGTGTTCAAATGTTGTGGCCCAGCAGTGGCAGTTTTGCCCAGCTCACCTAGTTCATCTCCCAGCTCTAAGAAACAAAAAGATAGTGGTGGAATGGGTGAACACTGTCACCTTTCTGAAAGAGACTTATCATTTGGCATACCGTGATTCCCACCGTGTACCAGCAATGACAAAAGCCAGTCGTTGATGGAGCCAGTTCAGAACTTTCTGATTGAACCTCTGTGGGGCATATACATTATTTTGGTAACAAAGCTGAGATCTACTCATGTAATAGATACACTTGGATTTTGGTGTTGTAATTTTGGGGTGTCATGGGACAGAAAAATTTTCAGAGTAGGAAAAGTTAAAGTGTTACTAAAGTACCAAATGAGTTACTGGCCAATCACATTGAGCTTTCATTGACAGCTAGTGTGGGTCTTCCTCTGCCCCACCTCCTCTGAGCACCAGGAGAGCAGAACTAGATTCACTAGTTATATGACAAGCTAAAGGGGGGGGGGGAGTTCAAGCAGAGAGGCGGTGGGGTGCGGAGCTCTCTGTTCCCTCTGCTTCATAAAACAGCAACTGAGACCTCAATGAAAGGCGTTTATCTGCCACATGAACAAAGCTCTCAGCAACTGCACGAGGGCTGCTGATTTAGCAATGATCCATCCACAGGACTCACCACGAAGGCAGACACATCCCATTCTGCCCTCAGATGGAATTAGTTTTGCCTTGTCTTCTTCTTATATAATCTTTGTAGATAATATATAAATACTTACATATTTATAATCTTAAGTTATAGAAAAATATAAATATGACCAAATGTTTTCTACCAAGGGATAATTACTATTAAATTTTTTTTTTTGTAGCCCCAGCTGGCCTGGAACTTGCTATGTAGACCAGCCTGGCCTTAATCTCACAGAGATCTGAATTAAAGACTTTTTTTTTTTTTTTTGAGACAGGGTCTCTCTGTAGCCCCAGCTGGCCTGTAACTCACTGTGTAGACCAGGTTTAACTCACAGAGATCCACCTGCCTCTGCCTCCTGAGCACTAGGATTAAAGGCATACACCACCATAGCTGGCTTAAAGACATTTTTTTTTTTTGGTCTTTTTGAGACAGGGTCTTCCTGTAGCCCCAGCTGGCCTGGAACTCACTATGTAGACCAGGCTGGCCTTGAACTCACAGAAATCCGCCTGTCTCTGCCTCCCAAGTGCTGGGATTAAAGGCATGTGCCACCACGCCTTTTTTAAGATTTATTTTTATTATTGATTTATTAAAATTTTTTATGTGTATATGTGTAAACCTGCTTGTCTGTATGTGCACCACATATGTGTGCAGTCCCCACTTGGAGGCCAGAAGAGGACATCAAAAACCCTGGAACTGGAGTTAAAACTGGTTATGAGTTGCCTGATGTGGGTGTTGGGAACTGAATCCAGGTCTTCTGCAAGAGCAGTAAATGCTCTTAACTGCTGAGCCATGTCTCCAAACCCTAGAACTTTTATAGTTTTATGCCAAGATTCTGTCTATTCTCATAAAGAGAAGATGATTATTTTCAGTCCTGGGGATCAGCCCCAGGGCCTGTACCCACTAGGCAAGTGCTCTTTCACTGAACTGTGTCCCCTGAGCCTGATCATGGTGTTCTTATTAAAAACTGGTCTTATTTACTTTAGGCTAGCCTTGAATTTGTCACAGTCCTGCTGCTTCTACTTCCTGAGTGCTGGGATTATAGTTCTGTACTACCACACCAGATTTAAATCTTTTCATAATGCAACATTGTGGCCCATTTGCTGTGTGTATGTATATACTTATAAGGACTCCAAAGCATTCTGCATATCTGGTGTTTCCTGGCCCTGTTTCTTTCCCATTAACTCCAATACTGTAAAAGAGAATGGCAATTGAACACTTGATAGAGAAACACTTTTCCAATAATGCAAACCCTTTTCAAGGTCAAGTTATATTTCCTATCCACTTTGGTGTCCTTTTTTGCTAAGTAACTCAGGAGAAGGCTGGTCATAATGATATACATCTTTAATCCCAGCACTTGGGAAGCAGAGGTAGGTGGATCTCTGTGAGTTCAAGGCCAGCCTAGTCTACACAGTGAGTTCCAGGTCAGTCAGGGCTATATAGAAAGATCTTGACTCAAAAGAAAAAAAAAATTAGGATAGACTAGTTTTTAAATGCGTAAGTCTGCTGTCTGTGTGTGTGTGTGTGTGTGTGTGTGTGTGTGTGTGTGTGTGTGTTAAATGTTGTGATGCTTTCTGACATCACTCTACCTCCTTTTGAGGCTGGCAGTATCAAATGTGACTGTGCTGACTCTGAGCTGTAGGGGATCTTAGAGACTGTCCAGTTATTGCTGGGTTCTTAAATTAAAAAAAAAAACAAAAACTAACCAACAGACTAGGCATGGTGGTACATGCCTGTAATCCCAGGGACTTGGAAGGCCAAGGCTGGAGGACTGAGAGTTCCAGTCCAGCCTGGATAATGTAGGAAGATGCCAGGTCAAAACAAGCAAACAAAACTAATTTTGAACTCTAGATATAATCTCAGGCTTTTATATCTGATTGATGTTTTATTTTGACAAAGCACTAATTAGACCTTCATCAAAGAATATTCCCCATTTAAATATGCCTGTATATTAGAGGGACTGAAAGAGAGACTTACTACAGTTCAGGATTTATAGGGTCCTGTGGACACATGTGTGGGGGAGGGCACATCTATGTGTGGACCTGGGGAGGTCATGCTTACATTCAGATATCTTCTATTATTCTTCACCTTATTTATTTAAACATTTTTTTGGATTTCTTTATTTTTATTTTGTGTATATGGGTGCTTTGTGTACATGTATGTAAGTGTACCCATATTGTGCAATGTCCATGGAGGTCAAAAGAGGGCTTCAGATCCCCTGGAACTCAAGTTACAGATGGTTGTTAGCTGCCATGTCCTGCTGGGAACTGAACCTGGTCCTCTGCAAGAGCAGCCAGTGCTCTTAACCACTGAGCCATCTCTCCAATCCTCTACCTTAGTTTTTGAGGCAGAAGTCTCTTTACTGAACCTGGAGCTCACTGTTTCAACTAGGCTGGTTGCCAATGAGCTCTGGGGATCTGCCGTCTCCACTTCCCTGTTCTGGGGTTGCAGGCACTCATAACTATGCCCAGCTTTTCACATGGGTGCTAGGGATCCAAAGGCACGTCCTCATGCTAACATGGCAAGCACTTTACCCAATGAGCCATCTCCCCAGAATTGTTTTTGTTTCTTTTGAGACAGGGTCTTACTATATAGCCCAGGCTAGCCTAGAACTTTGGTCCTCTTGCTTCAACCTTCCTAGTGCTAGGAGCACAGGTGTGCACCAGAGCACTTTTAAATCAGGTACTTTTTAACAACAACAAAGAAAGAGCTGCAGTCTTCTGGATGCATTTTTAATAAAGATCTTGATGCAGCAGTGAGTCTGAACTGATTTCTAACCTGTTGTTCCAGATGCTTTCGAACAGGTCCAGCGATTCTCTCAGTCTGTTGGTGTTGTTATCTTCCCGGATCACCATGTTGTAGCTGCTGCAGGCTGCCACGTAAATGATGGCAGTGACATCTAAGTGGGGGAAAGAGGGAAAGTGAAGCACTTTAGATGGATAACGTCAGCTGTTCTGAGATTATGGTCAAACACACACCCAATGACTATTCAGGTCTCAGATACTGTCATTTAGGGTTTGTAAGAATGACTTGAATATAGGCCAGGTGCACAGCTGGGTGTTGTGTTTGATGAAGGGTCTACCCGAAACACAACTGGACACATGGGATGCTTAATTTCTCTATGAGAGTCATGTTTAAGGAAGGAGCACAGTTATCTATAATGTGCTATATTTTACACTTAGATTAGAGACTGTCTAATTCAGAAAGAGCTAGACACAGTGGTGGGAACCAGCATCCAGCCCCACTTGTCTACAGAGCATGCAAATCACCATTAAAGCACTGGATCCATTTTCTTCTCTCGTCCCTCTGGCCGCCAACATCAAACATGCTATAGAAGAGCAACAGGAAGACGGTTAGCCAGGGAAACTTCTCCTTTGTTGTCAGAATGGTCATCTGCTCACAAGGTATGGGTGCACCATCAGCTGGGGATGATCTTGGGCTACAAGGTTTGCAGCTTCTCCTAGCCTGTCTTTCCTCTGTCACCCTACAGTGTAGGTTCCACGAGTGAAAAGTAAAGCAGAGAACAGACTGCATGGTATCTGGGGGCACACAGTAGGTGCCTAATAGATGCTGTGGTTTCTAGCTTATACCATATCTTGTGTCAAGTGTATGCTAAGTCTGTTGTGGAGGCAGATCCTCTGATGACTTGTCTCAGCTCTCAGAAGACTATCTTGCTTCCCCTGGAGAAGTGAGAGGACTTCCTTCTGACCCAGCGATAGTCACATCCCTCTCATCACCAGGTGCCTCTGCTGGTGCCCAGCAGAAGGTCTCTATCACCTGCTTTCAGGCAGATGATTCGTTCTTTCCTGAGATTCTCCACTTGCTTGGCCCAGGTGACCACACCCAGTTTTCTGTCTGAGTTTCTCTGCCATCCCTGTGGGGCATCAGGCCAGCTCTGGCACCTCTTCTCAGGCCCTCATGCTCAGCTCATCCTTTTCTAAGAGTCACATCTCCCAGTGAGAAGGCTTCTTGGTGGAGTTGAACCTGACACAAAGGGCAGGCTTGCACATTCCAATTCCAGTGATGTACCCTCCAGTCCCAAGGCCCTGTGGCACCCATCCTGCACAGGGGCTGGTGCCAGGCTGGGTCCTGGGCTTCCCACCACCATCTCTACCATAAGCCATGCTGTTAACAATCTACTTACTGAAAGTTCACTTTGTCCACTTGGAATCGTGTCTCAAAAATTCCTGATGTTAATACTCTGCACCTGAGGAGGTCCTGGGGGCAAGAAGAGAGAAGCAAAGCCACCTGTTACTGGCATAACTACGGTAACTGAGCAGCAACTTCTATCATCAACATATAGTAACTAAAAGTTCCAAAGAATGGTGTCTTATCCCCCCAGGAAAATCCCTTGGCTAATCACTTTGGCCCTTTACAACTCAGTAACTGCTTTAATCTCTCTCAAAACTTTTTAGAAAAGCTACTCACACCCACATCTTGCTGACTGTTACATAACAGCCAAGCCCCAGTGCAAAGTGTTCTGGGACAGTCTGGGCCTATGCTTGGGAGCCTCCTGCTGGGCGGGAAGCTCTAGGGCGCTTCACTCTCACTCACGAGCCAGGTTAGAAGCTACTTCAGTTTAGGTTTGCTCTCGCTTCCCTGCATAGTTCCACTCTCTCTCTGACTCCAAGATGATGTGGTCCTGAGGGTATGAGAAGTCCAGGCAGTTTCACAAAGCTGACTTCTCTGGTACAAGATAATAAGGAAGCAGCCATCCTGCATTTTAGAATGACACACTTAGGTCAGCTTTGAGCGGTTCTTGAAAGGCTCAAGAGCCCAGGTTATACTGTAGGGTAATTAAAAACAAATTTATCAGCATGTATTAATTATACCTTGTAATGAGCCTCAGTATGACATGTTCATATGTGTACATAATTTATTTTGCTCCTATTCACTTCCATGATCCTCTTTTCCCCCTTCCAACCTCACTGATCTCCTTTCTCCTAACTATTCCGTCTTCTATTTTCATGTCTTTATATATATGTGTGTATGTGTGTGTGTGTGTGTGTGTGTGTGTACGCACATATATGTGTGTGAGTGTGATTCAGTGAGTTTAATTAGGATTACTTATAGGAACATGAACGAGTGAGAGGGTTATTTATAGGAGCACGGGGAACTTATCAGTGGCTACACCACTGAAGAAAATGTCTCTCCCTTCCCCAGAAACCATTAACTTGCTTAAAGATCCTCATCAGCTCTTCCCTCACACTGTAGACCATTTTAAGCTTTTGGAATCTGGCCCAGAGGCAGAAACTCCAGGGAGAAAACTAGATCTCCATGTGGCACAGAGGAGACAATGCCCAGCTTCCAGGGGGTTGGAGATGCTAGAGGAAGTTAGAAGGGCTGCTTTGAGTAAACACCCTTCTATCTATGTTATTATTTGTTCTTCCCCTCCTTCATTCCCTCCCTCCCTCCCTTCCTTTCTTCCTTCCAGCTCAACCTAAGAGAGATACTGTACAGCACACTTGGACAGTGTACTGTGGTAGGTGGGGCTCAGACCTGGGGCCCACAGCAGAATGGGCACAGTGCACAAAGAAGGGAAGTGAAGGCCTGATTTTCTCACTGATGGCCCTAGGGAGCCTGGGAATCACAAATTTCCGGCCTGCACACCAACTTCCTTCACATGGCAAATTAGAGCTTGATTAGTGTTGTAGTATCAGGTAGGTGAGTAAAGGCTGTGCACATTGTGGCATGACCCATTTGCAGGGGCCCAATGGCAAGGTGCAAGTAGCGGTTATTCTGAGGATGTTTTTGTGAGTCTATTGGATAATCACTGAATGGTCTCTTGCAGTCCTCAGAAGCTCCTGCAGGCAGCTCTACTGTCACATACCTGGTCTGTGGGTGTGTAGTCAACCAGACTGACACTGTCAATCCTTTCCAGGAAGCTGCAAAGAAAAGCCAGTATGTGGTCAGACTTGTTCTCTGGGCTGGGGCTGGGCTACATTAAAGGGACATTCACACAGCAACATGGAGGACAGGCCTAGGGGCTGACATGTGTCTGTCCTGAGGTGGCAGGGTGTGTGTGGTGGGGCAGGGGGAGGGAGGCTTCCAGGCCTGCATTCTGTTTCACTCTGCTTTGTTTTTTCACCTCTGCTTGCCTTCCTCCTTCCTTCTTCCCGAGTGGCCACTTGGAAACTGAGAGGCTGAATGAAGCCCCCTTCCAAGGCTAGTAATATAAATAAAAAATAGGGTAACTTATTTCACATACTTTAAGGTGTGTGTGTGTGTGTGTATGACTATATATTGCATTTGTAATGTTTGTAATAACAGTATTTGTGCCTGGGTATGTAAATATGAATGTGTGAATGGCAGAGGATGTATGTAAGAGTGTGAGTATGTGGGAAGGGTGAGAGTGTGTGTGGGTGACAAAGGCTCTGCAGATTTCATCGATATAATTCAGATCAAGGGCAGGGTGAGTGTGTGGCAGGTGAGCCAACACGATGTCATCATTGCCATCATTCAAGTTTTTCCTGTTCCTAACTACCAGGCCAGTTCTTCCCTCTGGTCATAGAGGTAAGAACCTGTTTCAGATAGCACTGGAGTCTCCATGAGGCCTAGCTTTCCAGGTCCTTGGAGAGCATGCCACAGCTGGTACTGACTTGTTATTTTCTATCTTTTCCATCAAAGTGCTGGACCCAGAGAGCAGGTCTTGTCTTGGCAAATCTAGGGTCCCCAGCACTCAGTGCAGGACCTGATCCTCAGGAAACATCCACGGAAGGAGCACATATTCCCCCCCACCACCTTCACCTAGGAGAAGCAACTAGCAAGGGCCTGACAAGAGGGGCTGAACATGAAATATGAAGCTGATGGCTCGAGGCAGAGTTAGCTTAGGAAGTAACCAAGTTAAAATTGGATGCACAAAGGGTAGAGGTAGGTGGGTGAATTTATTCAGATGATAATTACTGTAGGTAGAGAGTGAAATATGGGTAACAAAAAGTACATATGAGGTTCTTGAGGGATGTAATTAAAGACTGTCTTCTAGAGGAAGTGGTGGGAGGGAAGTGGTGGGAACGTTTTGGAACCCTGTTAAAGCTGTGACTGTAGAACCAAGGACAGAGGCAAAGGGGGCAAAGGTTCAGTCTTTCCCCACTCTCCTCTCCACAGTGGGCTTTCAAAGTTCTTGCTAGTTCTGTTACTTGGCCTAGTTCTAAACATGCTGTGAAAGTCCTTCTTCAAGCTGGGGCTCCCAAGATTACTGGAAGATGTTCTGAAAGGGTCTCCCAGATTACTCCCAGCATTTTGTAAAAGATTATATTTTAAAGGGTTGGAACATTATCTCCCTAAATATGATGTTACAGGTCAAGTAGAAAAATCCAGCATATCTAAGTATGTCTCTTACAAACTATTTATGGACATCTACATACACAGCTGCAAAAGCACAGAAAATTGCCATTATAGAAAAAAAAATCACTTGCCTCATGGACACTATGGCAGAATGGGCTGGGCCTGGCGGTACAGGCCTGTACTGCCAGCTAATTAGAGAGGGGGAGGCAGAAGAATTCTAAGTTCAAGGCCTGTCTGGGCTGCTGAGGGGAGTTGGACATTAGCCTGGAAACTTAGCAAGAACCTGTTTCACAATAAAAAGTGAAGGGGAAAAAAAGAAGAAAGTAAAAGAAGACTGGAGATATAGTCCAGTGGTACTGCTTGCTCAGTGCAATTGAGGCTTTAGTTCAAACCCCAGCACAGGAAACAAAATGCTCCAACCCATCTCCTTTGACATGTCCCGTGTTTCTACCTACAGCTGTGGATATGCGTATTTGCAGGAATGTTTTTATTCTCATCAGTTAGAGCCTCATTTGAAACTGGTAGAAAACCCAAGCCAAATAAAAACCCACCACCTCTCCTACCTGGCACTCCAATCAACCATCTTCAGTCACTGTTTATATCTCCTTTATTGTCAGTTTTCCTAGAATAACTAAAAATAGTCAGAATTCCTGGGGCCATGGAGACGATCATGAAGTAGAGGACAATCTGGGACAAGGACAGACATGAAAGGGTTCCTGGCTATTGTTGTAATTAGACTGCTGGATTGAGGGAAAACACCACCTAAGTGTCCTCAATATACGTTTTCCATAATTTCTTTTGTGAAAAAAAATCAAGCTGTACCTGTTGAGGCAAGTAGGCTTTTCTCTGTGTTCATGAATTTATCATGATACATAAAAGATATAAAAATATTGAATTAGGGGTTGGGAAGATGTATCAGTGGTTAAGAGCACTGACTGCTCTTGCAGAGGACCCAGGTTTGATTCCCAGTACCATGTGACAGCTAACAATTGTTAACTCCAGTTCCAGGGGATCTGATGTGATCTTCTGACCTCTGAGGGTACTGCACTGCATGGTTACACTTGCACACATGCAGGCAATGCACTCATACACATAAAATAAAAATAATAAATAAAAAATATTGAATAAAGGTTGGGGGTGGTGGCATATACCTTTAATCTCAGCACTCAGGAGGCAAAGGCAGATGGATCTCTGTGACATTGAGGCCAGCTATGGCTATAGGGAAACCATGCCTCAGAAAAATTGGATAAAAATGTTATTCATGTGGTGAGGAAGTCCCAGGCAGTTCTAATGCACACCCAGGGCTAAGATCCCTCAATAGAGGTTCTTGGACAAGCAGAACCACACTATTTGCAGACCTGGCCAACAGTGGCAGATCACCAGTCTTATCTGTACACTGTCAGCCTGTGGCACCTCCTGCTGTGTGCTTTGAGCTTTCCTCTGGACTACCACACATGGTGATTCCTGCCCTTGTCCCTTTCTTGGGAGCTAAGTCTATACTTTTAATCTGGCTCTGAGCCTTTGGTAATCTGTCCAGTCTCTTTTTTATCCTGTTACATAAACATAAATTTAGTTCAAACTTTGTGTGTGTAGTTTTGGCTTCTGAGACTCTGGGCCATTTGTATGTTTTTTTTTTCCTTTATGTGCTGTGAACACACAAACCCTTTCTTCTGGTACTTATTGTATCACAGTCTAACAAGGTGCATAAAGTTGTACTGTCCTTTCTTAAAAGTTGAAGCATAAATCACATACAAGTATGTAAACTTACCACTATTTACTTATTTTTGAGGTGGCCTCTTGCTGTGTTGCTGGGGCTGGCCTGAAACTACTGGACTTGTGATCTTTCTGCCTCAGCCTCCTGAGTTTAGGTGTGGTATGTGTGTGCTTCCTATACTGGCTTGCACTAATCTGCTTCATCTTTTTGTTTTATAATCGTGTCCATTTTTTCTAGTTATTTATTTATATTTGTGTGTGTGGTGTGTATGTGTGTGTGAGAGAGATGGAGAGAGAGAGGAGAAAGGGGGGAGAGGAGAAAGAGGAGAGAGAGAGAGAGAGAGAGAGAGAGAGAGAGAGAGAGAGAGAGAGAGATTGTGTATGTGTCATAGTATGCATGTAGAGGTCAGAGGACAACTTGTGGGCGTTAGCTCTCCCTACCATGTGGGTCCTCGGGATCAAACACATCATTAGTCTTGGTGGCAAATGCTTTTGTCCACTAAGCTATCTTGCCAGGCTCCCATTTTTGTTTTTATGTAGCTGTTTAATCTACCTAATTGAATTGAATGACACTTGAGGGCAGATACCCGTTTTTTGTTTTTTTTTTTTAAATTTAGAAGAGTGTATAGCTGGCATCTGACACTGTCTAATCTTTCTCCCTTACTTGTCATTTTGAGCAAATACTGCTGAACTGGTTGTTCTGACCCTCGTCAGGTAAGAGAGACATTGTACAGACCCTGAGACACAGGACCAAACATCTGAGTTTGGAAGGATGCTATGAAGGGCAAGTGCCTAGCACTAGCACTTCTGGCATCCCATGTCAGGGGTCTGGCTTGTGCTCACTGTGCTGGACTTATCTGCCACTTTGTTAGTCATCAGGGAACTCTAAGTACTACCACAAGAGCATCCTGCAAAACCTGAATCTCCGACAGTGCCAGGAACGCTCTGTGTGCCCAGACTATCTGGTTCTGCTCCCTATGCACAGCCGGCACCTGACACTTTGTCTAAATCTTTGTCCCTTACTTGTCATTTTGAATGACAATGCAGTTGTAGAGAAATGAACTTGGGGAAACTAAAGTAGCTTACTATTCCTGGCAACTGATTTAGTTTTGAGCTATGGGTTTTAGCAGTAAGTGCCCCCAAGAGGATGTTCTATGTATTGCAGACAAGTCTCCCACTAGTGATTATGTCTTCTCCCTCCATATCCACTCAGGTTAATAAGCTCATCAGACCAGACTGTTACTTAATCACAGCTTTTTTTTCTTTTTCCCCAAATCAAAGAACAGTTTTGGTTAGACTGTTCTCCCAAAGCATACATTTGGGTACTAAAATAAATTAAGAGAAGAAAGCTAAATTTGGACATCAGTCCATCCATTTATTCCCATTAATTCTAAAACCCAGCTTAGCAACTGCCATGTATGCTTTTTTAAAGACAGGTTCTTGCTATGTATCCCAGGTTGTTTCAACCTTGTGATCCTCCTGCCTTAGCCTTTTGATCTCCTGAGTGCTGGGATTACAGGCATTCAATAAACCTGGTGAAATCCTGTATCTGAAGGTAAAAAATTACGAGACTAAAAGTAGTTACTAATAGTGGCCTGGAGACTACTTCCCTGTACCTTTGGATCGGATCCCTTTAAAGATACCTGTCTTTGGTTTGGGGAAGTTACAATAGATGAGATTTGTGGCCACGAAGAAACGTTCACAGTAAAGAAGTAACAGTCAAGCTGGGCACTGTGGTGCATGTTTAATCCCAGCATTTGGGAGGGAGGTAGAAACAGTCAGATCTCCGGGAGTACGAGGCTAGCTGGGTCTACATAGTGAGTTCCAGGTCAGCCAGGGCTGCACAGTGGGACATAGCCTCAGAAACAAAACAATAAAGAAAATACCATGCTCCCAGAAAAAGGAAGGAAAGGTCATGCTACTCAGGCAAGAATTCAGGTGGTAGTATTGTAGTATTCAGGGCATTTGGGAAAATAGCATGTTCCCTGAACCAAATCTACTTCTGTGTTTGTTCTTTCTTTTTTAGATGGGATCTCACTATGTAGTTCTGACTGGCTGGCCTGGAACTTGCTGTGTAGGCTAGGCTAGCATCAAACTCACAAAGATCCTGCTTGCCTCTGCCTCCTGAGTGCTGGGATGAAAGGTCCATGTCACCATACCAGGCTCTGAGTTCTCCTTTCTTAAATAGCTTTTTAAAAGATTTTCCCCCCAATCTTTCTTTCTTTTTTTTTGTGGTGCTGGGATCCAACCCAGGGTCTAATGGATGCTAAGCATACACTCTACCACTGAGATCCAAACTCACATTAACATACAGTGTAAAAATTATTTATTAATTTTTTAAAATTTACATTTCAAAATTGTATCAGTTCCAAAAGTGAAGAAATAATTCATGGGCCTATAGTGCTTTTGAAAATAATATTTATGATTTATAAAAATGTACATTCATGTAGTATGAAATGAACATATCTTAAGAAAGTTTAAGCATATACAGCATTGTTCAACCTCACAAAATATATTTTGATGGGAACATATGCATTATACAAGGGTCTTCAATTTACCAAGGATTCAACACCAAGCTATTTTTTTTTTTGACAGGGTTTCCCTAACCCAGGCCCAGAACTCACTATGCAGACCAGGAGGAGGAGGGCCTAGACCTCACCTGCCTCTGCCTTCTGAGTGCTGGGATTAAAGGTGTGTGCCACCGTACCCAGATTCACTGAGTGATTCTTTAAGTTGTTATGATCCAGTTTTTTCGGTCTAAAAGAGGGGTTAGGAAACTTCCTGCAGTCATACAAGCCCGACCAGCACAACTGTGTGGATGAGAGGACACGTAGCCAGCTAGAGGGCCTTTGAGAGAAGATACTGAGCAGTTAAAGGTATCTCGTACAGCAGACTTGTGAATACTACTACATAAAAATCTCAACTACGAGGGCCAGCAGTCATCTGTGTACACCTGCACTGTTACTCATTTACATGGGAAACCACATTAGAATGATGAATTTTTCAAAGAGTTTTGCTAAGGCCCTATAATTGTTTTCTGAGACACTGCAATTCTCTTAATGGAAAAAAACTTCCAATGCAGAAAAGAGAGAATTAAAAAATCAAACAAGAACAAAACCGACTGTAAATATTTAACTTGTCAGCTTTGAGGCCAGGAGAAAGAGGTGGCTACTTGCTCTGCTCTGGTTTCAGGTACTACCCTGCCATCCCTGGGAAAATGATACAGCGGGTCTCCAGGTTCCGTCTCTTTCTAACAACTCATTGCTTCCTCCCAGATTTCTAGCTGGCTGACCATACATTTAAGCTTTGCAAAGCTACAACACTCTAACTGATGCTATTTGAGGTCTAAAAAAGAAGAGTTAAGGTAAAATAATACATCAACATACAAATAATTAGAATTTAAAATGCTGCTCTAATTTTATTTCTATTTTTGATTGTAAAAATCAAAACAAAACCTATAAATACACAGTCCCAGGGTTTACCCAGAGGAGTCAACAGTTCTTTGGCAATATTGGGCGTGTAACAGGGCTGTGTCTTGTTGATCGACATACTTTGATCAGAAGTCTAAAGTGTTGACTTTCAATAGAAAACAACTAGAAATTATCACAGTAAGTCTTTAAGTATTAAGAACTCTTAGTAAACAGACTATAAATGAACAAATTTAATTTTTCCTGATAAGTTATGTGGCATTTTCTGCAGTTACACAAACTCCATTACATTCTGTTCTGAGCAAACAGAACAGAAACAGTAAGAATATTTTGCAAAAATATTTTAAGGTAACTTTAGTATAATATGAGAATAAATTAATAGTCAATTGCAGTCTTTTTGATGGCAAAACCCAAGAAAAAGAAAGGATATACAGAAAACGCACTGCCCACAGAAGACGTTAACAAAGTGTTTATGTATTTGTAACCAAGGTAAGTAATCATTCATTTCGCCTCCTGTCTACGTATCATCACCCACACAAAAATAAATAAACTTCAATCTGATAATTCTAAGTGGAAAACTGAATACACGAGGTCCAGAGTTCTGCCCAAATTTTTGAGATTCGTATAGAGCAAATTAACCAGTTCTATTAAAAGGCGACTATAAAAATACGCATAATCACAAGCTATACAAGAGCTTTAAAATCCAGTTAAGAGCAGAGAAAGACTGGAATTTCTTAACCTATCTGGAGAAGGCTGTAAACCCAAAGGTAGAAAGGGCGTGCTGGCGTTCTGGCAGGATTCTAGGGCATCTCTCTCATTTACAGAGAGCATGGCAAAAGGAAACCTCGGGCCAGTTCTGCCATCAGACTTGATCCCGAAGGCGGGCCAGTCTCTGGGACAGTTCATCCTGCTCGGCCGAGGCTACGCTGGTGCCCACGGAGCCGGTCTGGCCCTGCGGCAGCTCCAAGTTGAGGTCGAGGCCCGCCTCGTCTGCCATTTCCTGGAGCAGCATATCCACTTGGCTCTGGGGAGTGGTCAGAGTCGTCGTGCTGCTCATCGTGTCTTCCATTTGCTGTGTCTGGACGTCCAGTGTCTCAAACTGGTGCTCGAATTTGTCCATCAGAGCAGAGATCTTCTCCAGATTCATGGTCTTCAACGTCGCATCCATCGACTTAACCACACCGGCCATGGACTTGGTCACTTTGCCCATCGTCACCGCAGTCTGGACTCTGGCAGCCACCGCATCCACCCGCGCACTCATTCTCAAGAAATTCACGGCCTGGTTCTTCTGGCGGATGGCATTTTCGGCGTGAATCCTGGCCACTTCCATGTTGCTCTTCTGAATGGCCTTTTTGATTTTGGCCTTTTCGGCCTTCTCCTCCTTATCACATTTTTTGGCACTCCTGCTCAGTTCTTTGGCTGCGAACTTGAGGTTGAACAGGTGTTTCTCCATGTTGGACATGGTGGGTCGGCTGCAGGGAGGTCGGCAGCCAGGGCCAGGACGAGGCTGCCGCGAGACCAGCCCAGACAAATCCGCTCCGGGCTGCCGCTCCTTTGTTTTGGTTCTACTTCCTGTATCTAAGGCGCGCGGCGCAGACAGTGACGTCACAACTCGGCGCCGGGGCAGGCCCGCGAGAGGAGGTGATTAGAGAGGGCGGGGCCTACGGGGGACGAACAGCGCTGGGGGCGGGGACAGCGCTGGGGGGGCGGGGCCCGAGTGACGGACAGCGCCGGGCTCGCCCACGCGAGCCTCTGTGCCTTTGCTGTCCGCTTGGTTTCCGCTTTGGCGCAGGTTTTGAAGCAATTAAATCATTAGCAACCGCCCCCCCCACCCCAAATCCGGGTCCCCAGGCAGTTTCTTAGGACTGTATCTACTGAGGTAGACGGGATGTGTAAAATATCCCTGCACGTAAAAGCATAGCCAGGCTCCAAACTCTACAGGCTAAAGCGCTGCAAAGTAGCCAGAGGGCCGCAGACAGACGCTCGCTTTCTGTACACTTTCTCAGGGATTAGTGAAAAACAAAAGCTGTCGATGACCCGCGATTCAGTCTTCGCCTGCAACCGTGCTGGAGGTAAGCGCCCTCCCTAACCTTGAACTCCAGTTTGCAGGTGCGCTACCTGCAGTTGCCCTCCCAAACCCGTCCCGTTTCTTAGTAACAATCTGGCACGATTGTATCTTTCTGATGTTTTAAAATATCCAAGGAGCTTTCCCTCACATTTAAACTTGACAGATTAGCTGCCATTAGGTTATGCAGGAGCGAATGGTGAGGTGCTGGGACCCACACAGTGTCATACCTCAAGCCTGTCACTGCCGATTATGATTTTTAATATAAGCGCAGGCTTTCCAATGTTGGTAGCAATGTGTGCTGTAACTTTCCTTTACAAACATCCCTCCCCACAGCAATAACAAAATATAAGAAGCCCACTCTGTCCTAATAAGGTAGCAGAAGACAGGAAAATCCTGGTTAGAGATCATTTTATTCATGTGATAGCTTATCAGTCAGTTAAAGGGTGCTCTGTGCCACAGGCTTCTCCTTAGGACACAGCTCTGACGTCACTCTTTTGCTCCCAAACGGGGCACACAGACTACTGTCCTCTGTGTGACAGGTTTTGCTTTCCTGTGTCAGTCAAAACAGACTGAAGAATGGATATTATGATTTGTGTCATTTGACCAAGGTGGACAAGGGGCCATGCCTCTCCCTGGGTGCCTGCACTTACTGAGACGCACCAGTGAAGTCCTGGATGCCCCCTATTGGGGCTGTTGCTGTGTTCTGTAAGGTGCCACAGCACAGGGCACATATCTGGCCCACATTAACTACTTGAAAGCAGGTAACACTCTTCTGTTTTCTCACCATGAAGCAGGTGCAGGTACTGTGTCCAAGCAAGCTTTGTTGACTTGGACTGTGGCTGAGAGGGACAAGGAACTGGGACATAACCCTAATCAATAGCTTAGTCAAAGCAAGTGCCTCCTATCCCCAGCAGAGCTCTTAAAGGGAAAATATTCTAGAAATGTAATATATAAATATATATAACTTGGAACAAAGGGTGGTTGTGTGCTTTAGGTCCCTGGCCTTTCTTGCAGTTTACAAACAAGTTCCTTGTCAGTGCTCCCTCTCTCCTCCCTTTTCACTTGTTCCCCTCCTCTTTTTTTTTTTGTGGCCTTGGGGATAGAACCTAGGACTTCATGTATGCTAGACAAATGCTCTACACTGAACTATATCCTAGACCTATAGCTTTTTTCATAACAAATTGTAATTGGGTGAGATGGTTTGGAATATAATTATGACAGATTCTGATAGATGATAGTACTAATGACTGCTATTACTTCTCAAATGTTTAAATACCTGGCATTGTTTGGCACTTTCCATAAATAAACTTATTTTATCCTCACATGAAGGAAGGTAGACATGGGCTGGGTATGGTGGTGCACACCTTTAATCTGAGCACTGGGGAGACAAAGGCAGGTGGATCTCTGTGTGTTGAAGGCCAGCTTGATCTACACAGTGAGTTCCAGGTCAGCCAGGGCTATACAGTGAGACCTTGCCTCAAAAATAAAATAAGATAAAATAAAAGGAAGTAGGTAGACACTATTACTATGTCCAGTTTTCAGGTAACAGAGCCTAAGCACAGAGAGCTAAGTAACTTGCCAGACACCACACCTCTAGTAAGTGTTACACATCAGATTCCATGGATACACCCAGAGACCAGTAAAAAATCAATCCAATATAGATAACGTAAGAATAAAGACAATCACAAGGCTGAGGATGTAGCTCAGTAGTTAGAGTGCTTGCCTAGCATGCATGAGGTTCTAGACTGGATTCTAGACTGCATAAAACCAGGTATGGTGGTATATACCTGTAATACCAGCACTTGGGAGGCTTAGGTGAGAGAATACTAAATACCAGGCTAGCCCAGGCTACTTACTGAGACTCTGTAACAACAACAACAACAACAACAACAACAATAACAACAACAACAACGACAACAGTAGCCGCAGCAGCCACCAAACAAGAAACGGCAAAAACCAGAACCAATAACAAAAGGAATGATCATTACTTATCCTAGAAAACTAAGTTGACTGAGCAGTTGTCCCCCTGAGAAGACTGAGGGGTGGCACCAACTGTAAGGCTGATGTGACCTGTGGTATGGGTCCTAAAAGGAGTTGCACTCTGTGAACTCTGAGCCCCTCCCTCGTATGGGTGGAGTCCAGGAAGTGTATTTCCAGAGCTAGCACCTTGGCATGCAGAAGGGAAGGCTGAATGTGCCGCTGGCTGCTGCTCTCCTCTTCCTGACTTGAGAAGGTAGCACCCAGGCCCTGCCTCCTCTCTTCCATGAACACTCCAGTCATTGTCATGGCCCAATATGACCTATGGTAAATAAGTCATTTTTGGAAAAAGTTTTTATTCTGCACCTGAGGCTCTCACACCTCAGTTGGCACTGGATAATTTATGGTGCAAGACCATTGGGCACCTCCTTAGAGAGACACCCACTAAAGCACTTGCATCTATGGAGATGTGAAGAGTCTCAGGAGTAGTTCCTAGGAAGTCCTTATATCCACCTGTAACTAGCTCAGCTGGACATATTCTCCATTCTTTACATTTCATGGGGGTGTGAGTGGCCTCTGGGGTCTGTTGTAGACCAGTATGTGTTCTTTTCTGTATGTCCAGCCAAGGCATCATTCTTTAAAATATAATGGCTGTGCCTTATTATGGTATTTGGTCGAGCTGTGCTGAAATCTTCTAGTGCATGTCTATATTTCACAAATATTTACTGAGGTCCAGGCTAGATGAACAGTATGGTGGACAAGGATAACTGGCAAACCCAAAGCATTTATAATATTTCGTTAGGCAAGAGGTATTTTGTTTTCCCCAGAGCTTTTTTTCATAGAAGGAGTTCCCCAACCAAGGCACAGGGTGAAAAGCATTCTCAGTGAACTTGGCAAGGGAGGAAGAAGAGTGGGCATTTCTCTCTGGGAAGCACCAGTCAGTGCTTAAGGAAGCAGATGATTAATCTGACCTGAAGGAATAAATTCCAGATCCCATCCAGGGACAGGAGTGGAGCTCAGTGAGACCGTGGTGTCCAGCAAGCGCAAGGCCCAGAAAAAAAAAAAAAAAACCCAAGAAACAACAACCCCAAGTTCTAGCTTATGTTAACATATGGAAAGCAGCATTAAACAGCAAAGCATAGCACATTTGGAGGAGAAAGTGTATTTGTGGAATAGATGTGAGGCTAAATGACAACTGAAAACTAATTGAATTTCAACCACACTAACACAAAACTTCAACCTCTGATGCATCTATGTGAACTGAAAGAAGGAAACAGAAACAATACAGTACTCAATGGCTCTGGCTCACTGGCAACTTTCTATGTTTTCTTCTGGAGCTGCTCAGGACTGTGTCTCTGTCATAACTTCATTTTTCAACAGTTTCCCATCTGCTGGAGAGCATCACAAGGAATAAGGCTAACCATCAGAAGCAAGTGAGGGAGTCAGCCATCTCAGAGGATGGTGCTCTGTAGACTCAATATAACCAGCCTCCATATCCTCGAGCTCTCTGTGTGGGTTTTAGCCAACTGTGGAGTGAAAGTATTTAATAAAAAAGAAACCGAGTCTGTGGTGAATATGTACAGACTTCTCCATTCTCTAAACTATCCAATATAACATCTACTTAGGCGCAGCATAGACATCACAAGTCACCTGGGGATTCCTTAGTACATGGGAGGATGGGAGGATGGATGTGCATTGATTCTAGGCAAACACATCTGTCATTTTATAACTGCAGAAGGAATGTCAGTATGCACAGATGTAGACATCTGTGGGGCCCAGAATCAGCTGCCTGAGGATATAAAGGGACAGCCACACAGTCTTTGGTTCAAGTCACAGCATATTTCAGAAAGACCCAGAATGGGAAATGGACCTTGAAGTCAATGTTCACCTTACACTAGTTTCTTAAGAGATCTGAAATGTCATGAAATAGTTCTATCTAGGATAATACAAAATTTCCTTTTTTGGCAAAGTGATCTCTTAAGTGTCGTCTAACTTGGATGAAGATATATTTAGTCACTGCACGTATCTTAGCAGAGAGTCGCAGCAAAGCAGTTTTTTCCTTAGCAATTACTGCTCGTGTGAGGTAGCCACATTAGGATTCTTTCGTTCCTTCCAGAAATAATATGAACACTACATTTTTATTAATACTAAACATAATATGAAACAAGGGCATCCTTTATGAATAGCATGGTTCATAAGCAAATGGCAATGGTATATCTCACTATAGTAAAAGAATAACACTTCTTTTTTTTAAAGACAGGATCTCACTATGCAGCTATGAATGACCTGGAACTTGCTATGTAGACCAGGCTGGCTTTAACCTCATGGAGATCCACTTGCTTCTGCCTCCCAAGTGCTGGGATTAAAGGAATGTTCTGTTTTTATTCAGGCATAACTGTAATGTGGCATCTCACAGTAACTACTGTGAAGAATGATAAATGGCAAACCTGAAATGTTATGAATCTTGTCCTGGACATTTAGCACCTCTGTGCTAGTGTCACACTCAGCATATGATTGTTGCCACACTCAGACTGTTGAAAT